ATTGGTTCAACAATTAACCAACCAGATAAGTCTTTGCAGCCACCGGCTATGGAAAGTATGAGCCAGTCAGTTATGCCCCTGTACACAGACAGTGCTAATCAAATGTCACAACAACCGTTGTTGCAAGCATCACTGATGCAAAGCAGTGTAGTTTCCAGTTCTAGGGCACCAGATAAGTCAAAGTGCAATGATAAATCAGTACAAAGCCAGCAGTCCCATTTTTCTTCTCTGGCCAGTGCGAGCCAAAACACCAGTAACAATCAACCTCAGAATGACCCAGTTGTGTCTAAAAACACCCCTGAAAACCTAAAGAGAGTCAAAAGAAGTGCAAGGACAAAATGGCCAGCTATTCTTAAGGATGGCAAGTTTGTTTGTTGCAAGTGTTTTAGAGGATTTGATAACCCCAAGTCCCTTGGAGGCCATTTGTCAAGGGGTACCAGCTGTAAACTATACCAAGAGTCAGAGTTGAACTCGGACCTGCCAGCATCATTTCTTGGCCTTCTTAATTCAGAGCAAACAGTTGGCAACACACAGCCACAGTTGCCTTATAACCCTGGCCCTATTTTACAGGAGAAGCCCCATCGAGCAGTTGCCAATGGATCAACAGTCACAAACAATTACCCAACTCCTAATTACGCACAGAATAATTTGCCCCTGTATGGGAATGGGGAGTCAAATGAAGACCTTCTGAAACAAATCATGACCGATTCCAACATTTCTGAACTTTGTGTGCCCACACCTGCTACAATTCCATTGCTCCAAAATCCTTATGGAGTATCTGAACGTTTACCAGGTAGTTCAGTCATACAGCATACAGAAAATATCCAGCCGAAGCGAGTGGATAACTCGTATAGTTCAACCCCTTATCCTAAGGCAAGCGATACATTCGCCAGGAGTGAATTCCGTGACCCACTTCTTTCTCAAATTCTCACAGAAAATCCAGGAAGTCTTCCCACAAACAGCAATGAAGGCTTCACTTGCATTCAGACTCCAGATAGAACTGCAAACCCAGTGATGCAACCACTTTTACCTGATAGTCAGCTTAGCCCAGCAACAACAAGTGGCACACAGGCTGAAACACAAAGGAAGAAAACCGAGCAAGACATTAAAAAGAGACTAAGGGAGCAGATTTTGGCAGGTGACCTTCAGCGTAGGAACAGTATTTTTAATTCAAGCATTACTGACCCCAATGCAAATTCAAAGCCTTTTGTGCCCATGCGCAGCCCCTCTAGTAATGCTGGCCTTAATTCCCATGTAGCAAAGAGTGAATCCTCAAGTGAACCAAAAGTTATTCAAGAAAACTCATCAATCATTCAAGGGACCTCTGGCACAATTGAACAACTACTAAACACACAGAGCTTTACTGGTTTCAGAGAGTCGTCTAGCATGAAGCAAGAGGTAGTGTCCCCCACAAGGGTCACAGTCAGTGATGCAGATCTCGAGCCCACACTATTATCTGCCTGCCAGCAGCAGCTGATGGCAGAAATTCAAAGTGCATTTGAAAGGCTTAACTTAGTCAGAGAAATGTCTGATCAAATGTCAGCTTCAATGAAACCAATCAGCCCTAATACAAACAGCCACACATCACCCGTGAAGGTTGAAATTCCTTGCCCAACATCACCAAACATTGTTAAGCCATTTGCTTGTGAGAACTGCCATTTTAATACTCTGTCAGGTGAAGCTCTTTGGAAACACCTCTCTAAAGCTCACAGCTACACACTTGAGATGGTGAATGTGGTCAAAAAAAGGTATGGTGAATATGCTCCTTACAAGTGTCAAAAATGCAACAAAAGATTCACTCGCAACTCAAACCTTCGCACTCACTACCATTCAGTACACAAACTATCAGGCAAGGAAATCGAAGAACTGGATTTGAAGCGCAGAGAGGCCAGAACTGCTGTTGTTAATAACTGGCGTCTTAATAAAAACCAGGCTCTAACAGCTCCATCCACAATGGTGGATCAATCCAAGAATGCCGCTCAATCCATGAATGCTTCTCAATCAGTGTATTCGGCTCAGTCCGTGAAGGCTACTCATTCATTACCAGAGATCAAAACACCTGTGCATTCACTCCAACAGGCAATAAAACGTAACTGCCCATCTCAACCCTCTACCAGCATCAAGCAGCCAATAGTTAAACCAATCATAGAGGTTCCCAAGAAGAAGAAAAAGAATCCAAAGTCCGGTGACTCAAAGAGTCCATACAGACCTTACCGTTGTGTCCATCAGGGCTGTGTGGCAGCCTTCACCATCCAGCACAATCTGATCCTGCACTACAGGGCTGTTCACCAGTCTGCTCTTTCTGCGTTGGAGGTAAACAAGGACCAGGACCAGAGTGAGGAACTGGATGAAAAAATGGACCATGACGAGGAAGACCTACAGCCAGTGATCCCTCGAATTTCAGAATTCAGATGCCACGTCAAAGACTGCTCCCGTGTTTTCCAAGAAGTCCCCAGCCTTTTGCAGCACTACTTTCAGCTTCATGAATTCAGTGTGGAAAGAGTCAGCAATATCTTGTCTGGTGTAAAGCTTGGCCGGTTTGCGTGTGGCCACCAAGAATGCTCAGTATCCTTCACTTCTTTCTGGAGGTACATAGGGCACGTCAAAGACCACCACAAAGATATGAAGCTAACCAAAGCAGAACAACTAAATGCTATGTTCAAGTGTGAAATTGAAGGTTGTGACCTCGCATATGCCACAAAGTCAAACATGCTCAGGCATCTCATGAAAAAGCATAATGACTTTTACCAGCATAAACTGAAGAATCAACACATGAAGGAAGACAGGATGAAACCCAAGACTTTGCTTTACCAAATAGCAAAGACAAGTAACGGAAAGGAGAACATTGAGACTAATAAAAAGATCCTACAGAGGGCAAGGGACGCCAAGAGAATGCACAAATCAAAAAGCAGTCACTGGACCAAATATGGGAAACCCTCCTTGAAATCTAAAGTTGAGGCATCTGCAATGTGCACCAAGAAATTCCCTTTACAGTACCCCTGTATGATTAAAGGTTGTGATGCAGTCTTGAAATCGGAACGAAACATAGTCAAACATTACATTGGACATGGACTTTCAGAAAAATACCTGGAACTGCAAAGAAGTCATTTCATATTCTGCAAGAAGTTCGCAAAGCACAAGTATCACCCAATCAGGAGTGACGATTCTAAATCCGACAACACCTCTGAAGTGTCTGACAACGAAGTGACCACAGACGGCCAGGAATTAGGAGAAAATGGACACCCAAAACCCCTCCTACGGCGAAGGGCCCCAGCAGGAATCCCAACTCTGTTCGACAGCAAAATCTGCAACGGGGAAAGTTCAGACGGCTCTTTGGTGGTCAAACGTAAACGTGGGCGCCCTCGAAAACTGGTGGGAAAAATAGTTAAGCGCAAGAAAATCCCACGCATGAAAAAGGTTGCCGTAGTCTACAGCAGGGATGATGAATCAGACTCCTCCTCCCCTGCAGTCATACAGGAGGAGACAGCTGAGCAGAGTGCTTCACTGGCCACTTTTAAACCAATGGGATTTGAAATGTCGTTCTTACAATTCCTCACGCAGTCAAAAAAATGTGAAATTCCTTTGACTCGGGCAATTGTCGATCCAGAAACATGCACAAGAATTCTAAGTCCAACCAGCAAAGACACTTGTGTTAAGTTCAGCAACCGCGCTAAAATCAAATCACTGAATAGGGTTAGAATCATTATTGACAAGGCCTTTAAAAGTATCTCTGAACGCATGTTGAAACAGCTGCAGGACATGCAGCCCAAAATCGTGTTGGAAAAAAATCATTGAGTAGTCTTTTTTTTGAAGCAGAATCTCAGGACTAGAATGAGTAGAATCTGCTGCAAACCCCTGGTTCCCTTCAAAAATGTTTTTACACATCCAGTTATCAAAAAAGAACAGTTGTTTTGAAAGATACTGTAATATAGCCTGTACATTTTTTTATAGAACAGTGTATAGCATGTTTTTATTTATGGACTCATAAGTTGTGAAGTTGTCTGAATTCTTTTTTTTTGCTGAAAATTGAAATGTGACACCAGTTCTGGTATCTTAATCATCCCTGTGGGAAAATGGACTTCGAAACGGATTTACTGTTGTATGTAGTTTGTGATCTGAAGATGTCAATTGTTGTGCATTTGTGTGTATATAGTTTGAAATCACCCACTGCCACCAGCAGTCTTACTATTAAACGATCCGCTTTTCTACAACATGTTTGACTTGTTTGCATCATTTGTGGCTTCCTTGGTTATAAGATTTTTTTTAATTAAAGGCAAGTTCCTTAGAGGATTTTTAGGTTGTTGCGTAATACGACACCGTGAGCTCTTAAGGATAAGATAGGTGTCTGACCATTCAGAGCTTTATGTGAGAAGAAAGATTTTAAATTATTTTCTAGGTATTATTGGGAGCCAGTGCAGAGAAGCCAATACAGGAGTGATGTTATCTCTACTTGAGAACTGACTGAAGGTTTTACCTCCAATCCTGCTTTTAGAGACTTTAGATACCACAAGAAGACATGTACTGAAGTTGAGAATGAAGAGCAGATTTAATTCAAGTTTTATATACTAATAATTTATTATATATTTGGGTGTTCACAAGCAAAATCAATCTATATACATTAGGAACAGTATAAATGATATAACATGCAAGCTTTCACAATTCTGAACAGAAAGTCTACCTTTACATGGTTATTAAGGATAAACTTTAAAAAATATATCTTCTTTACATGCATCATACACGCATACTAATAAGTGCTGTTGTGTGTTTTCGACAATATCAGTTCAAAGAAACAAATCAGGGCTACCAAATGACTCGGGAAATCCTTTATAGCCTTTTGAATGCAGAGATTTGATTGGCTAAGCGTCACATTTTTAACTCATTGAAGTGTTTTGTGTTGTTAGTTTTCCTGGGCTGTTTTAGGGTCAAATGTAGTCCTGAAAAGCTGCACGGTTAAAAACAACTGGTCTTAAACTAGCTACATTTTGCTTTGAGAAACATAGTCACAGGAAATAAAGATGTTTATTTAATATAAAGAGTTAGAGACGTCAAAAAATGCTGTCAACTGAAGCTGCTTACTGTAAAATAAAAACATAAAAAAGGTACCATAGGTTGTCTCACCTTAGTACAGTGGATGTTTTTTTAAGCACAGGCTCTGAATAGACTTTTGAGCATCGTCCATGTTGTATTTTTAGATAATCAAAGCTCTCTGTGCTTTCACTCTGAGGTGGAAACTTGAGCTCTTCAGGACTGGACTGTCTGGTTCTCAGCTGTGTGTGTCGGCTGTGTGATGCCATCCTTGTTGACAATGGAAACAGGTGGCCGGCTGTAAAGTGACGCCTTCTCCTCCACGGGGATGTATTTCCTGGTGAAACATTTCCACGCCCGCTTCCACACAATGTACATGAGCTCCACAAAGTTCAGGAAGATGCACAGGATGGAGGTGCAGCCCATGATGTAGAGGAAGATCTTCTTCTCTGTGGCTTTGCCGATGAAGCAGTCCACCGTGTTGGGGCAGGGACTCTCGCTGCACTGGAGCATGATGGGAACCTCAAAGCCGTTGTACAGGAAGTAGAAGACGAGCAGAGATCCCACCTCGAAGGTCGTCTTAAAGACCAGGCTGAGGATGTAGGTGCAGAACAAACCTCCATCCATGCTAACTTTGTCTTTGTACAGCTTCTTTTTGTGTTTGGCCTCCCGATGCTCTCTGTAGGCCACGTGCAGCGCCACCAGCAGGGACGGCGTGGACACCAGGATGAGCTGCAGGGCCCACAGACGAATCTGAGAGATGGGGAAGAAGCGGTCGAAGCAGGCGTTCTCACAGCCGGGCTGACGGGTGTTGCACAAAAAATCCTTCTGCTCATCCTTCCACACCTGCTCAGCCGCCGCCACGTACACCAGGATCCTGAAGAGGAAGACCACGGAGAGCCAGATCCGACCAATCACAGTCGAGTATTTGTTGACCCCGCTGAGGACGTTCTCCAGGAAACCCCAATTCATCTTCCTCTCGGTCTCCTGTCAAGTCACAAACACAGTCAGGGATTACCTTTTCAGGACCAATGAGATCCTTCATACAAACAGAATCATCAAACTCAAAACCCATCTGGGAACAGTTGATTTCTACGCACTGCATTTATTTAAACTAAGTATTTTTAGTTACTAGATAGAAAAAGTAAGAGTCAGCACACAGCTTCAGTAAATTTTAAAACCGCAGACCAGGCAAGAAATCTGGGTGTAGCGATTGCCTCGGAACTAAATTTCAAAAGCCTCATTAAGACAATTACAAAGAATTAGAGGAATTCTGTCCCAGCAGGACCTGGAAAAACCTGTCCATGCATTTATCTTCAGTCGTCTTGATTACTGTAACAGTGTCTTTACAGGTCTGCCTAAAACATCAGTCAGACAACTGCAGCTGATCCAGAACACTGCTGCTAGAGTCCTCAGCAAAACCAAGGAAGTGGATCACATCAGTCCAGTTCTGAGGTCTTTACACTGGCTCCCAGTCTGTCAGAGAATAGATTTTAAAATCCTGATGCTGGTTTATAAAGCGCTGAATAGTTTAGCGCCAAAATTTATTAGTGACCTCCTGATTAACTACAAACCATCCAGACCGCTCAGGTCGTCTGGGACAGGTCTGCTCTCAGTCCCCAGAGTCAGAACCAAACATGGAGAAGCAGCGTTCAGTTTCTCATCTCAGTATATGTGGGACAAACTCCAGAAAACTGCAGGTCTGCTGAAACTCTTAGTACTTTTAAATCAAGGTGGACGACTCACCCGTTTACAGCTGTCTTTCATTAAATGATTTAAATACATTTATTTTATTAATTTTTTTATTATGATTTTAGACTTTAACTATGCACTGTAACTTTAACTCTTGTTTTAATGTAACTCTTTTATATTTTAGATTCTCTTTTGGCTGCTTTCATTTTTCTTCTTTGATATTTACGGTTTAGTTTTAATTCATTTTAAATGGTTCTCTTGTTAAAGTTATCATTGGGGCCTTTTTGCCTTTATTGGAAAGACAGCTGAAGAGACACAGGAAATGTTGGGAGGGGAAAGTGGGGGATGACATGCAACAAAGGGCTGAGGTTGGATTCAAACCCTTGGTCTATAGCCTCTGTACATGGAGGCCCACAACATAACCGCCAGGCTATCTGCCCTCCCTTACATGTCCTCTTTTAATGTGTTTTTCTGCTCTTTGTCATGATGCTTTTGATGCTTTGTGTGAAGACAATCCATATTGTTTTAAATTCAATAATATTAGAGTATCATTATCCAGAGAAATCCAGTTTCACTCAATATACTGAAATACACATTTGTTTTAATGTCGTACAGTCTATGATCCTCCTCGTTAGATCTAAACACAAACAACCAAACAACCTCTGTACACAGAGGGGTACCTCAGCGCTGAAGAGAACAGTACAAAACAGAAAGATAAACAGAGTCAGAACTCTCCTCTGCTTTGTTCAAAACAACAAAACATACACACAAGCCAATAGATGCATTCTTACTTTATTGAATAAGATCAAAGTCTTAGTTTTACAAACACTGCTGATCTGACGGTCACTTCATGGTTGAGTCAATTATAAAGGCAGAGCTCATCCCTACAGGAGCCTGTAGGACCAAAAGTTATGATGTGTGCTTTTATCCAACAACATGAAATCTATTCTTGTAAAGTCTAAAATCAATCTGAAGATTACAGCTTATTTCTTAATGGAAGTGAGATAGAAACTGACCTGCGATGCTTCCGAGATGTGTCCTCTGTGCAGGATGATAGCAGGGTGGTGCTCGGCCGTGCAGTGTGTGTGTGTGTGTGTGTGTGTGTGTGTGCTCTGCTGTCTACACCTGCAGGCTGGCAGCCACACCTTACTGTACCACACGCATAACAAACATCCGTCATTGTGCTTTGCATCAGCTCCATCACAGACTTTCTGTTTTGTTTTCAGCACTTTTACAGTCAATTATCAGAAGTCACATAGGATGGAAATTTCCCACAGATCACCTGTTAAACCTGCATGAATGGAGGTATGTGTATGTGAGTGAGTATGTGTGTGTGTGTTTCTGTGTGTAGTAGATGTTTACACACAGACAGCATCACCATGGAGACGTCTAATGCAAATAAAATGTGCAGCCGGTCCTGTTTGTGGCTCAGTGTGGGGGAGGAGGACAAACCGATTGTTTGAGTTCCTGCATCTCCCCCCTGGACTGAACTTACACAGGTAGCTGTGATGAGAGTCAGGTAACATGTTACTCTGACGATGATGAATAATAAAGGAAGTAACCTCAGGCCTCTGTCTCTTATTCCTCACACCTTCTGGGAACACTCTTTACATCTAAACTGCATCCAACGTTCCTGCTGAGTTCTCATTGTATTCCCTTTTTTGTTTGATTTAAAGAACATCGCTTTGTGCTGCAAAAAGAAAACTTCATGAGAAATAAAAGACACTCTCTGCTGTCTCTCAAAACCTGGAGAAACTTATGTTGAAAAACAAAACACTTCACAGATCAGTGCACCTTGAATTGAATTCACATGATCATAGACACACCTGTGATCGGGATCTGAACATTTATCTCCAGGGCCTGGTTATTCAAAACATGTAATACATGATTCAGATCTGATAATTCATTTCCCCCCTCTCAGGGTCACACAATCCAGCTTTCATCACGGTTGTTCAAAGAAAATGGGATGGATGGGATCACCCTGATGCAGGTTTAGACTTTTAAGGTTCACCAAATCTTGATTACCGAGTGCTTTAAAGGGGACTTCACTACATTACTTGTCCAAAGGGTGTGACAAAATTCATACTAACAAAGATCTCACAACTGCTTTAAATTAGATATTTGTAAAAACACTGGAAAAATAATGTGAAAAATTGTGGGAATTTAGCCTTTTAATAATCACTGAATACTCATGTGCCCACAATTTAAAAAATACTTTTTTTTCCCTATATTTTTTTAGATATGACAAATACCTAGAAACACATTCTGGTGCACAGCTGTTAGGTTTGGACTTCATATGTATATGAGAAGTTATTTTTTTGTACATCTTGTTTATTTTATTATATTTATTATTTGGGGATGGGCTCTTATCAGAAATATTCAGTCCTCCTCCTGATGTAAAATCATAGACTATAAATGTTTCAGTAAAACCTGCTCTTCTTCTAATCTCGATCAAGTAGTTCCCGCTCATGACCACAGGGTGCGCTGTTACGTTTCAAATCGTTTCTTGCTCTTCTTCTGCTTTCGTTTTACCCGTCTTTGACTTTGAAATATGGCTGCTTCTACAGATACAACGTAACATTAGCACACAGTATTGTTATCACATATTTATCTGTAGAGCTACAGTGAACAGACCGACCGAGACATGGCAGAGAAAGATGCCGTTAAAGGAAAGGAGGCTCCCGGGGAGAAAGGCTACAGGACCCCCGGGCTGAGAGGAGTTAATTCAACCACGATGTTCAGAGCTTTCAACCCCGAACTCTTCATTAAACCTGTATGACTCATACACACACATTCAAACACACATTCACACACAAACATTATTTGTTTACATTACATAGCATTATTTCGCCTTAAAACATATTTTTTACTAAATTGCTTTTAATGTTCAGTAACCCGTCTTTTTTGTTTTTTTTATTGTTATTATTTTTGTCTGTTACTTTTTAATGCTTTGTTTCTTTAATGTTCAGCACTTTGGATCAATCAATGTTGTGTTTAAAGTGCTATATAAATAAAGTTGATTTGATTTGATTTGATTTAACATAGCAGCATGGCTAACGTTTCAGGAAATCAGGTGTTACGGTTAAAACAGTGACCGTGTTACCTGGTGAATTGTCGTAGTTACAGGAGACATGGACGACCGAAAGTGTCCTAACAAATACCGCTTTGTTTATTTTACTTTTCTGATAAAAGTATTCGTCTGATTTAATAATTACTGTAAATTTAAACATGAGACATTAATTTTCCGTCGTTGACATCTGTTGTAACTACAACATCCAAAGTCTTCAGTTTACATGGTCCCTGTTTACTGGTAGCAGGTATCAAAACCATGACATAAACAGTAATGTGTAAACTTTGCTGCTCTATTTGTCTGTCTTATTGACTGCCTCAATGTTTCTATGCTGCCATATGTATCTGGAGAGACTAAAGCAAATTGTGACCTGTGGTGGACAATAAAAAATGTTAAACTTCAGGCTTCTTGAAGATAAGTTTACTCTTACAAGTAACCCCAGAGTTGAGAATACATGACATCAGGATAACAGATGAATGCCTTCACTGTATTATTGTCCTGCAGAATAAACCGGTGATGGTGTTTGGAGTGGTTACCATCACGCTGTGTGTCGGATACCTGGGCTACATGCACGCCATGAAGGAGAACGACCAGCAGCTGTACGAGGCCATGGACAGCGAGGGAGAGAAATACATGAGGAGGAAGACTTCTAAATGGGACTGAGGACACTGAGCACTGTGTGTGTGCGTGTGCGGTTTAAGGACTTAGTGATAAATGAATATAATCCAGCTAAATTGTGCAAATGAAAAGCCGAACATGAAACCTTGCAGATGCTGAATGCAGTGACTTCACCTTCTTTTCACATGTTGGAAACCTGTGCATTGGAATCTCAAGATTCACCACACATAGACTTTTGATGTTTTTAATTAAACAACATAAAAAATACATCTGTGCCGGATGTCAGCTCACAGGAGAATGTCGGAGTCACTCTGTTATTTGGCTTTCTCGTCCTGCAGAGAGAAAACAAAAGGTAAACAAGTTATTAAAGTGGCCTCACACTTGTCAATAGATTTTCTTTTAGCCGCTTTAAATATTTATTGAAGCTAATTTCTATCAAAATCACAGAAATAAAGACACTGAAGGGATTTATAATCATTAAAGTCCCAATAAAAGACTTCTCTTTTTTGAACCAAGTAAGGCTTTTAGGTTACATTAAATCCAGTGTATAAAAGCTGTGGTCGAATTTCAGCTCACACTGTAAGACTGAAGTTTACAATTTACAACGAAGATTAAGGATTAGTGAGATAGCCCTGTACAGTCTGATTGTGAGGCAGGACCTGGGAGCTCACACTTCATTAGTTTAATTGGTAAGTCATTGAAGTCAGACCTATGAGTATTTCAGTTGTCTTGGTTTGCACAGCTCAAATACACACCGGCAAAAACACTTGCTCTCTCTCTCTCTCACAAACACACACACACACACACACATCACCAACAAACACAAGCATCTAAACAACAACAAATAATCCCTGTCAGCTGGAGGTCTGCAGATATTTCCTACCAACATTTCTTCATTCATAACACTGATGATAGGAGGAGAAGACATGTTCAGGTGCAGTCTTTCAAGAAGAAAAAGCCCTGAAGTCACGGTCTGCTTGTGGCTTTTCTCTTAATTACGAGTGTGTGAAGTCATACGACAAAAATTTCAAACTTGACACAATTACATCCGACCCGTCAGTTCCTCCCCAGCACACTAGATGATGAGGGCTGAAATTTGCCCGGCTTCAGAATCAGTAGTGTTACTCAAACTCAGCCTTAAATCGTACAAGGTTCGCCCGGCATGAGTCATTATTTTGCGAAAGTGCTTTTATGGTAAATGGACTTGAGCGCTGCTCTAGTCTTCTGACAACTCAAAGCCCTTTTACACCGCAGGTCACACCTACACATTCACACACTGATGGTAGAGGCTGCCATGTGAAGAGTCCATCAGTGTTAGCTAAAACCATTCTAACATATTTATACGCAACAACGAAGCAGCAGTAGCAGCTTGGGGTTAAGTGTTTTTCACAAGGACACATCGGACATGTGGCTGCAGGAGCTAGGGATCGAACCCCCAACCTTTCAGTTGAGGGACGACCGACTCTACCACTGATCCACAGCCGCCCCAATTTATAGTGTTTAGATGAAAAAAAAGTTTTTGAATCCCACAGCTGCAGAAACAAATGCAGGGAGAGTTGCAGGGTGTGAATGCACAAATTAAAGCTTTTAATATTTCCCACCGTTAGTGCACTTCAGAACAGATTGTAATAATAATAACTGCAGTTGCTTCTCTTCAATGAATTTGTTGCTCTGATCTTTCTTGTGGTGGGTATTGACAGCATAAGACATTACAGTTCAGCTGCAGCTCTGATGGATACAAACAGAGCGCCATGGAACCAATAACAACTAAAATATTATTCAAAGTGAAAGGAAGGCTTCCCTTAATTTGACCTCTACAACTACATGGCTCTGATATTTTTCATCCGCCGTTGAAGGATGAAGGATGGGTTTAAGGAAAGAGTAATTATTAACTTATTAACAAAACTCAGAGATAACCTTGAAGTTACCTCGGTAACCGCAAATCCTGATTCTTAGTTAACCCCCCATGTGAAATGTGTTAACTACTGCTCTAAAAAAAGAAGTGGCAGACATGCACATAACCTTTAAACTGAGGATATTCAGTGTATTTCAACCATTAATAAATTGTGACTTTTTAACACACCTTGATAACGTCAGCGAGTTCCTGCAGGGTTTGTTCAAATCGGGCTTCCATACTCTTCAGGCTCTCTGGTTTCACAATCTGCTTCTGAATCCCAGGACTTCCTGCTTCCTGGACCATCTGAAGGAAGTTTTTCTCCTGAGCGGGAAAACAAAAACACTTTTTTTTTTTAAACGTACTGCTCATGTCCTACATTTAAAAACACAAGAGACATATTTCACCTGAACTCCGAGCAGAAAGGTGAAGGCCAGGCCGACTTTTCCAGCTCGAGCTGTTCTCCCGATTCTGGACAAAGACGGAGAAAACACGTCTCAATCACTCAGCATGGAGAATGAACTTTAACAAAACGTTGATTTATGGGCTAAAGCTCACCTGTGAATGTAGGTCCTAATGTACTGAGGTGCATCATAGTTCACGACACATTTGACCCCGTTGATGTCGATGCCTCTGGCGGCTGCGTCTGTGCTGATCAACCTGCAGGAGCACGCTTGTTAATTTACTGATTTCAACTTGGTCTGTTGGTGTAAGATTCAAGGTTTGAATACAATCCGAAAACTTAAACAAAAAGAACAACTCGAAGCTTAAATGAGTATTCCAGTGTGTGAGTTTTTATGGTAAATGTGTTCGCTACCATTCCCTGAACAAAAGAAGAAAATTGAATGAAGCAACACTTGGAAAAAAAAAACTAAGTATAAAAAAAAAAAGAATTTAAATCCCAAATGATAAGGAATGAAATTCGATTGGGATCGTAGATCAAGACTGGGCAGCCCTTATTTCGACCAACTCAGTCTGATCACAGACAGAGAGGTTAGCATTTGTGGATCTATTCACGCATTTGTGGATCTGTGTCTGTATTTTCAAATAGTTTTGCCACAATAATAGCTCCATAGTCCATCATGTTGACACACTTACAGCTGGATCTTTCCTTGTTGAAACTCCTTAAGCGTCTTCTTCCTCTCACCAGGAGACAGTCTGGAGGAAAACTCAGCAGCCTGAACTCCACCAAAGAGCTGCACCAGCAGGAACAGTCTGAGGAGAAGAAACAGACCACAGTGAAAGAAAGCACATCTTAAAAATGACCCGGAGCCTTAACCGGTCTTAATGGTCTTAATTGCGGTCTCTTACCTGTGTGCAGTCTCTCTGGAGTTGGTGAAGCAGAGGATGGGGAAGAGTTTCATGCGCAGGATGAAGTGGAGGATGAGGAGGGGCTTTTTGCTTAACGTACAGGGAACATAATACTCCTGCAGACACAGAGAGAACAGGCATTTAGAGAGTGACACAAGCCTTCAGCTATCTGCACGCTGAAGGATGAAGGTGGTCTCTTACCGTCAGACCCTGGGGGAAGTCGAAGCGGTCTTGCTTCTGGCTGGGGGCAGACGGTGTGGAGGGGGTCTGGCTGTGGATGGAGCTGAAGAGTCGGGGCTGATGGAGGCCGAGCTGCTGTAGCTTCTCTGGGTTCTGTGTGAGCGTGGCCGAAAACAGCAGCTTCTGCAGCGGCATCTGAGGCGGAGACAGACTGAGAGGACAAACAGACGGTCGGACTTAAAGCTCTCACAAGATCTTATTCCACAGTCTGAGTGTGTCACACTATCTCTGATTTCCAGAACTCCAATTCTGGTATTTTAAAACCTGGCCCTTTTGTTTTAACATACCTTATAATGACTATTATGTTCAAAATGTTTGGGGGTTGCTCGAGTAAAATGGTTCAATCAGCCACAGTGAAACAGCTTGTAAAGGCTGCAGCTAAACTCTTGATGACAAACGCAAATAATCAGAGTGCGCCCACCAATGTTCTAGATTTTGTTGACATGATAGCAGAGTTTAAACTTCGATATGATAACAGTAAAACATCAAACTATATTGATACCACAGTCCTAGGACCACAGTATTTGGTCAATTCTTTTCTTGATTACTAAAACTTGTAAGCGAACTCCTGCACACTGTCTGTACTGACGTCATGTGCCGAAATGTGGACAACATAATTGCACATATCTTTTTGCAATTAAGACACAGCTCTCTTATTCCCCTGCTGCAACTTTTGGATACAGATATGACCAATGATCTGTAGTTTTTTAAAGCTTTGGTTGTTTTCAGAACAATAGATCATTAAAATAAAAGATTTTATCATTTTAAAACACGTTGTAAGGTTGAATTTATGGTTGGACGATCTTGACAGGTGGGTATGCATGCTGACTGACTGGTTATACTTATCCTTATCTACTTTCTGGTCATGAACCACTTCTGGTTGTATGAGTTGAAAGGGAGGAATAGGAAAGTCTTTGGTGAAGGTTATTACAGGGTAGAGAGAGAAGCACCATGAGTGTACTGAATTTTTACACTAATAAACGTGGTCTTAAAAGAGAAAAACATGAAAAAGTCTGTTCTCTCGTCTTCAGGTGAAAACACAGACTCACCTGGCTGCTGTCAGGTGTGCCGGCTCGGTCCGTCTGAAGATGGATGAGGCTTCTGCTCCACTTCCTGATCTGAACACCGCCTTCACCACCTGACTGAGCCACGACTGGTGCATGCTGTCAATCATCCTGTCGGCCTCATCGATGATCTACAGGAAGAGAGAAAAAACAAAACTGATTTTAAATTCATGTGACTGAAGCCTGCTGCTTTTTGTAAATATATTAACTTTGATATAAAGTATTATTTTAATGATCAATAGCAGCAAAATGCAACCAAGCTTTAAAAAACTGTATCTATTTCATTGGACAGTTGCTTAGGAGAGGAATCAATCAATCAAAAATCTCAGAAAAATTCCTTCACACACTGTCCAAAATGCACAAATATGTTTGCAACGTTTCTGTACCAAAATGTTGCCAAAGTTCTTTTACAATGTGCCTCGGACTTTGATTTTTGTTGCTGTGGTATTGAAACAGATATTGATATCATTTGATTTGTATTAGTACCGCATCGAAGTTTAAAAATCCTGATATCATGACAACCCTGATCCAGAGTTTAAGAGCTCACCAGAAATCTGAGGTGTTCCAGGTTAAATCCTGAATTCTTGTTGATGTGATCGACCAGTCGACCTGGAGTGGCCACGACGATGTCCGCTAAACTTCGTCTTGTGCCGCCTCTGAAAGGAAAAATCACACAGACACAAAGAAAGTGTTATGGAAATTTTCAAACAGCAGAAAAAGGAGCACACTCAGACAGGAACAAATCTTCAGGTGCACAACCTCAAAAAGACTTTCAACTTTTTTTTTTTTTTTTTAAATGGGACCGAATGAGGAGTCCTCAAGTGGACACTGAGGGAACTGCAGTTTTTTTTTTTTTTTTCTTTTTTTTTTTACACTTCTGCACTGGCTTCATTTCTCAACATTGGAGGTGGACGCTTGCTCTGAACTCACCGGAGTTCTGACAGTGACGCCTGCTCTGCAGCAAACGTCTTTTGACCGGCCAACATCACCACCTTCAGGCTGGTTCCTTCAGCGTACGACGTGAACACTTTACAAACCTGTGGGAAAATCAGAAGCATTTTCACTCTGCAGAGTAAAAATATTACTTGATGTTATTTAGACTTTTATTTTGGAAGCTTTCTGACCTGCTGGGCCAACTCTTTGGTCGGCAACACAGCCAGAGCCCGGACTTCACACACCACCCGCTCCATCAGCACCTGAGAAGACCGTGATTTAATCTGTGTCACCTCACAAACACACATACACACACACACACACACAGCATGTTTATTGTTCCCTGCTCACCTGTATGACAGGTATGACAAACGCCAGAGTCTTGCCGCTGCCTGTTGGTGCAGAAACACAAAGATCTCTGGGTTTGTAGCCTCCTCGTCCAATCAGAAACCCTGTCTGTGCGCTCTCCAAGATGGCCGGGATAACTTCTGCTTGCACTGCGAGACGATCAAAGTTTTTATTTCTGAAGTGTTTATTTGATTACCACAAAGACACTCCATCCCAACACATGCGACCTTTTCTACTGATGAAGCACTAATGATAGATTACAGGGACTAGTTCACAAGTTGTAAAGCAAGCTTATAATAGGAACTCAGGGTGGGACAAAACATCTCAACATTGTCAACCTAACCGGTGTGATCATTGGTGCCAAATACTGTTATTTATAAAATAAAAGAAGACAGATTTACCTTTCAATTTCACTAAAATTAGATATCGTGAGTGATGCATCGTTATGTGACTTCCTAGAAATGTTTAATTTATTGCTGAATTGTGCATTGTGAAATTATCTTTATTGTGGGACAAGTAAAGCATATCTTCTAGCTGCTTTCACACTTGCACAAAACCTCTGAAAAACTCCTCAAGTTTTCAGGGCGGACTACATGTGTGAACGCAAATAGCTGGACTTTTCACTCTAACTTTATTCAGAGTTTCTCCTGCCAGCCCTCTAGTATTTTTTCCTCAAAGTCTGAGTGAGGAGATGTGAGAACGCAGAAGGATATTCTGAATTCACCTCAAGTGAGTTGGAGGGGATGTGGACGTTTATTCTCTGAGATTGGTGCACGACCACAGACAGTATGCCGAGACCAAAGTGATGCATTATGTTCTCCAGAATGTTCTTCTCCACTCTTTTGTTGATATTCTGATTGTGTCCAACTCGCGTCTCCCGCTGTGAGGTGAATGTGTGCGCAACCAGATCAGAAGGATTTCAGTTGACTTCCTGAAACTGTTTTCCTGAATTGTATTGTGAGTAACACTGTGTTTCCCACCCTAATAGGAAGTTAGTTAACCTGCTGTTTAGTACTTAATGTAGTAAACCTGTCTGTCATTACCTGGGAAAAAGTGCTGAATTCCATTAGTTTGTATTTTCTTCAACAGCTGAGCAGAAAGTCCCGGGACGTCAGCGATGGGGACCAGGTTACTTTTAATGTCTCTGTGAATGACATCAGGCTGAGCGAGCCACTGAGGGAGGACTCTGTGCACCTGGGAACACAACAACAGACACACAAACGTTTTACATAGTCTGAGGATCAACATTGATCATGTTTCCTTCAGCACCATCAGCAGATCACTGCACCTTCTGAACAGGTTTGTTCTCAAATCCTCCCAAAACTTTGAATCCAGTTTCTTTTTGTGTGTCTGCCTCCTCTTTTTCTGCTCCAGTGACCTCCGGTCCATCTCTTTCTGTTACAGTAACGTCCACTACACCTTCGCCTAAAACCCAAAGACAGACACACTGAATCATCTGAGGTGTATTTATTATGCAGGTAATAAATGGATTTCAGAACAGGCCCTAACAATATGATCAACGTTATATTGTTTGTGAGTTTTTAAAGGAAGAGCACACACCTGACTGCTCCTTCTTTTTCTTCTGTTTCTCGTTTGCATCTTTCTTCTTCTTCTTCTTCTGTTTTTCTTCGACAGGCTCGTCCTGGTTATCAGACTCCGAGACAAACACAGGCACTTCTTCTGATTTCCTTTTTCTGAGTTGCTGTTCAGGCTCCCGATTGCTCTCCTTGTCAGCTTTTCTTTTCTTTTTGACGTCTTTTTGTCGTGTCTGTTCTTCAGGTTCACTTCTCTGTTCTGTGAAACTTTGTCTCTGCTTCTCTTTGGCCTTCTGCTTCAGTTTAGCCAGCAGCGCCTCAGACCGAGACTCCTTCGATACGCTCCCATCGTCCTCCTCTCCAAGATACCTGTGAGCCACCCGAGAGAAAATAAGACACCTTAAAGATTCTGAAGTCATCTTCTCTCATTCAAATCACAGCACAGCAGCTTTCAAATGTTCAATTATTTAGTTCTACACATGGCTGAGCGATATCAATCAAAAATCTTATCTTCATATTTTTTTAGCTGAATGGCGATACACACTATATAGTTTTTCTATCACATGTAACTCTCTTGTTCTGTAATCCCCCACTATTTCGTTTTTTAAAGTTTTACATTTCTGTTATATTTTATGTTCATTTGTAAAGCACTTTGTAACCCTGTTTTTAAAGGTGCTACATAAAGAAATATTATTATTATGTGTGTGTAAATAATTTCGATTTCCTGGTTCATGCAAAAAAAAGTTTAAAAGCATCCTACCTGTTCACAAGAAACAGAGACATTTCTCCTGGATTTAACTTCCTAAGAAATGTTTTCAATGCTTTTCATTTGCTCCCTTATAAACATTAATTAAGACTGAATGTTGATTAACGCTGTCCAGATTCGTGACCAGCTTTTTATTCTACATAACACTGCTATCTAAAAACTCTACTTATAATTCACAACAAATGTCTCCTCTTGTCTCATGTGTTTTCCACACTGTATTCAACGCGGGTTGATGACGCAACTGAATCCGGTCGCGATAATGGCGTCACAATTTGGGCGCGACCAGATTATCTTAATTTGTCCTTGGAGACGTTATCTTATTCCCCCTTTGAAATAATTATTCTAAAAAAACATGAATTCAGATTTTTTTTCAAAATACAAAAGAGATAGATTTGATATAAAATAGATAAAATATTGGCGTACTACTGTTTCAGCTCCCCCCGCCCCAAATGGATCCGTCCGCCCAATGACGTCCACCAATCAAAACAAAGAGGTTCAATTTTAAATTTTCGAAGCAGGTCACTCGTTGTGCGGTTGCGGCGTTTTCAAACTTAGCCATTTTTAATACGAATGAAAATGTTTAAAAGGGCGTTTTAGTTTTATATTTAGTGTCTAAATATAAAAAAAGACAAAATGACGCAGGAGTCGGCGGTAAAGGTGTGTGTACGAGTCCGTCCACTAATAGAGAGGTAAGTTTGAGCCAACCGTTTGTTGCTAGCTTTTCTGATGTTATTTACTTAATGTAGTTTATTATTGTTTCACATTATAGACACTATTACCTTTTAAAATGTACATTATGTGTGTTCGGACTTATTATTTTGTATTATTGCGTTACCTGTAAGGTGTATGGTCTCTGTGGAGTCATAGACGTAAAAGTGACGTTAACGTCAAATATTAAAGTTTTAATATCATAAATACAAATAATCACTTTTTTCTGAGTTTTAAAACCAAAAGGCGACACAGATGGTCTTCAGTTAGAGTTTGATTTTCGATAACAACATTGTGTGTTGTTTTAATTGTTGCAGTTTTGCGCTTTTTACGTCGTTTTATTTGTTATTAATTCCCCACAGAAAGATTTTACTTAAAGACGCATGAAGGATATAAAAACAAAACATTTTTGTGGGTGTGATGGAAACCTGTAAATGGCTTCTTTAAAAACCACACCCAGAATTCATGTTAAAGACAATACACAAGCTTAAAACTCAGTGAATGTCACATTGAAATTGCAGAAATGTAGTTAAAACAGGGTAAATGTTTGATCCCATTTATTTAAACAGGATGTATTGTGATAATCTTAACAGCTTTACGATCATCTGATGGCTATTTTGGGATAATTATATCTATTATAGGATGAACCTATTTGATATGATAGATGATGTTAAATACATATTTTTGAATGACAGGTGATAATAGTTCAAACATTCATGTCTTGTGACTATTTATCGGCTTTATTTTCTGGTGGGATGCATCTTTTAAAGGATGGTTCTTTTGATGATAGATGATAAGATAAGATATACTTTATTCATCCCAGCACGGAAAGTTAGGTATTCCAGCAGCCAGCATACATACAAACACACAACACAATACATATATACAAACATATCCCACCCATACAAAAAAACATGAGCCCACAATACAGTTTGATATATGATATATGCAACTCAGGCTAAAGTTTAAATGTCTTCTGTCCTTACTTAAAGGGGAGTCGTTATAAAGTGCAATTGCAGTAAGGTAAAAAAGTATTTTTAAATCTGTCCTTTTTTCAGCTTAGCTGTCGTAGCCTCCCACTATAAACACTCTTTTGTTCACACACGAGATTGTGTAAGGGATGCATGTTATTGTCCATAATGTTCAACAGTTTCTGTATCATCCTTCTCCCCATCACCAGTGTGTGGGGTTTAATTACATTAATATTTAACACAAATGTAGATTTGAACCTTTTATTGTCCAGAATAGTCAACAACTGCAGTTCCAGCAGAAAGAGGTTGATTTAACTTGGAAATAAAGTATGGTGGTGGCGCCATCTTTTAAACGGTGCAAGTTCATGTAACAGAATCTGCATGTTGCTTTTGTAGACTTTAAAATTTCCCCAGCTCAAGTACTGAACATCTATGACTATTTAATGTACGGAGATATGCACTAATGGAGAGATGTCCGGCAATGCAACAACTGGCACCTCTTCAGCATCGAGACCATTTTCCATAGGTTGATCTGTACTGGGAACATAAACCCGGGACATTCTGGAGTCTTCAGACTGAGCTGCTGCCGCCCCAAGAGGGTTTGAGGGGCCAATTCATCTTAATATAGTAGTATTTTTTGTTGTGTGTCTTTGTTTCAGGGAAGAAAGTGCCGCTTCGGAAAGCGCAGAGCCCGCCCATCTGTTTTGGAAAGCCGATAAGAAATCAATCCATCAAATCGATGATGGGAATTCCACAAAGAGCTTCAGTTTTGGTATTTTTTTTGCACCATGATGTTTAGGGATTAAGAGACATGTTTGAATTACTTAGTTGAATTTTCTGTTTATTATAGTCACTGTGAAAGACTCTCCTCCTCCTCTGTTCACAGACCGAGTGTTCACTGCTCAAGAAACAACCAATCAGCTGTACCAGAACATTGCAAAGCCTCTGGTTGTTTCCACTGTTGAAGGGTACAATGGTAAGTAATGTCATGTATACAGTGAGTAAATTACATGTTCTTCTTACTGTAGCTGCATGGTGTTTATATATTCTCTCTTTTCCCACTCTGCGACTTCAGGAACCATATTTGCTTACGGGCAGACGTCTTCAGGAAAGACTTTCACCATGATGGGGAGTAATGGCACTCCTGGTGTGATCCCTCTGGCTGTGGAAGATGTCTTTCAAACCATTAAAAATGTAAGAATCACATGTTTAAAACAAGCTGCAGTCTGTGGTTTTGTGAAGATTAGGGTTGTCCTGATAACATTATTTAGATTTAGGTCAATCAAGTTTAAACACCACAGCAACAAAAATACAACATATAGATGTCTTAGGCACCCAGGCCCGAGGTAGTTTCTTGTTTTTAATTTTCAAAATAAGAAAAAAAATCTCCTGCACACTGTCTCAACACAAATGTACAAGTATTTGTGATAATTAGACGGGACTGTCTCTTTAGCTCTCAGCAGCTTTTGGTTAAAAATATGACTGAAGAGCTGAAGCTTTTTAAAGCTTCTGAACTTTCTGATACCATCGATCATTACAAAAGAGATCGTATCGTTTTATAATCCATGGCATTGAATAGTATCAGACATTTTTAAGACATGAGTGAGGATGTTAATTCTAACACATGGTTTTCTCTTTTTTCCCAAAGTTTCCAAAAAAGGAGTTCCTGCTGCGAGTTTCTTACATGGAGATCTACAACGAAACTGTGTCGGATCTGCTGGTGGACAGCTGGAAGAGGAAACCTCTGGAAGTCAGAGAGACAATCAACGTACGTCAAAGTTCAGCATGTTTTGGCTGATCCAAGTCAGTCCATCGCATTATGCAAGACAAACTAGAACCAAGAATTTCTCACACTTCTTATTTACAAATAAAGCGGTCACTTATAAAGTAAAAGACTCAAAGTGTAGCTCCACTGAAAGCCAGAAACCCTGAAAAGATGTACTTTTTTTTTTTTAATCTGTGTATTTCTTCCTTCACTCTATGCAGAAAAACATCTATGTGGCCGATCTGACTGAAGAACTAGTAACGAATCCTTCACAAGCTCTGTCCTGGATCAGGAAAGGAGAAAGTAAGATCAGAGTTTATTTTAAACACAACAGTTACCTCCACACTCGGCTTGTTTACATGCTGTTAGAAAGAGTAAAACATTGTGCGTAAATACCACTAAAACCGGACTCTAAAAAGCTCGCTGAGGGAACTGTGGAGCATCCTCAGAACACCTGAGGCTGAAATGATGGTTTTTACTGACGCCAGTTTTAGATTAAAAAATATGTTTTTTGAGATACAAATCATGCAAAGCTCTTCTATAGGTTTCCCTGACTGACAACGTGATAGATGAACATGAGGAGAATATGGGATTTTTAAATAGTTCACACACAGAAACTGAAAAACAGTTAATCCAGACATTGCACATTCAGCTCAATTTGTTCCCACTTTACCTCTGCAGAGAACCGTCACTACGGAAAGACGAAGATGAACCAGCGCAGCAGCCGCTCACACACCATTTTCAGAATGGTTAGTAACTTCACAGCACTCGAGAACATGGAGGATTCTGGGAAAAATCTGGATCTCTGATGATTTATTCTTTCTTTTAGATCCTGGAAAGTAGAGAAAGGAGCGACCCTGCATCTGGTGAAAACGCTGATGGAGCCATTATTGTGTCTCATTTGGTGAGCTGATTTTCTCTTCATCTTTGCGTGCGTGTTGCTGTTTGTGTTGTCGTTATTCATTTGGTGTCTTAATTTATGTGCTGCTTCATCTTGTAGAATTTGGTAGATCTGGCTGGATCTGAACGAGCGAGTCAAACAGGAGCTGAAGGTAAGCTGGTGTGAAGCCACGGACAGTTTAAAGTCTCTGGAGTTCAGACCGTGTCAAGCATCAACTAAATGCAGTATACAGAGTTTTAGTAATCTTCTTTTCTGACGTCTTAGGTGCCGCTTTAAAGAAGGCTGCAACATCAACCGCAGTCTGTTCACACTCGGCCAGGTGATCAAGAAACTGACTGATGAAAGCCAGAAGTAAGTGGAAAGCAAAGAATGCAAAAACTTTCACATTTATTTTCAGGAAGTTTTTCAGTCTGGGTCTTTTCACATGTATTTTAGGGTCTAAGTAAACGAATGGCACAAAAAGCGTGTTGATCATTACTTTAGGGTGCTCAGTGTCGTTCTCTTTCTTCAGGGGATTCACAAACTACAGAGACAGTAAGCTGACCCGCATCCTGCAGAACTCGTTGGGTGGAAACGCCAAAACGGTCATCATCTGCACCATAACTCCCGTCACTCTGGAGGAGACCCTCAGCACGCTGCAGGTGGGAGATTTCTGCCTCGCACACCTTCACTCGCCTCTACACCAACAATTTAATATTCTATTATCGTGTTTGAATATTCTTTGTAAGTCTTTCTCGTTTCTCCAGTTCATTTTTGCAAGATCAAAATCTGCAAAAATTAAATTCAAAGCCTTTTATAAAGTGCACTTAAGACAAACGGACAGACATAAACATAGTTTATGTCTATTTATGGGAAGACGAAACAACTTGAGTAGCGTCAGTATTTGTAGACCTGTGAGTTTGAACAGAACACGGCTTCTCTCCGTCTCAGAGCTTTGGTTTAAAAAAAGGAAACAGATGGTGGAGCCACCTTGCTGAGAGATGAAAACATGAGAAACTAAAGTAGATGATGTTCATTTTTGTCCAGTTTGCCAGCACGGCAAAGAAGATGAAGAATGACCCTCATGTGACGGAGGTCTCCGATGACGGAGCTCTGCTCAAAAGGTACCGCAACGAAATCGTAGACCTGAAGCGCCGGCTTAACGAGGCAAGTCTGATCCTTCTGTTTTTGCTCATTTCTTGGCGCGTCACTGAACAAGGCAGGCTGCTCTTCCTCCCACTAACACTAATGCGTGACACCTCCCCCTCTGCAGGTTTCTTCGGTCACACAGACCACAGCCACAGAGAAGGACTTTCTCTCCCAGCTGCTCCAAGAGAAAGATCAGCTCCAGAGAGAACAAGAGGACCGGATCAGAAACCTGACCCAGCTGCTCGTCACCAGCTCCAATCAGATCTCTGCTCCAAAGGTAAACATGAAAAAGAATAAAGCTGGAGATATCGTATATCTTTGTCTTCATTAGTATGGTTAAAATGATTTGTGTCCTTTTTTTTTTTTTTTTTTTTAAGAGGCCTAAACGCAGAGTCACGTGGGGAGGAAAGATGCTCCGACTCGCTCATCCGTCTGCGTTTGAAGGAGGAATGTCTGAGCTCAGCTTTGCAGAACCTTTTTCCGGGAAGAGGAAAGCAGAGCGCTCCTACCTGAGTGAGATGGCAGGAGGTACGGAGGAGCTCACACATTAAAATGAGTTGAAAAGAAGCTGCACTATCAAATAGATAATGGAATGAATATATTTCCACAGACGACGAGGATTTTCATTGGGGGATTCCTGAGGATCTTCCAGAAGACATAGAGCTCAATCAGAGCTCTGTGACTGTTCGGAGCTTTGGAGACAGGTGAATATCTCTCTTTAGCTTTTAATGTTCTGTATTCAAACACATCATTAATCTGTGTATTTCATCTTTTTTCTAGTCCCAAAGACTTTGTATCTCCGGACCGGATGCGGGAGCTTTCGAGCAAAGTGTCTCACCTGGAGATGCAGCTGGAGATGGAGATTCAGCAGAAAGAGGAAGCCATGATGAAGGTGGAGACACTAGATGACAAAGTGTCGGAGCTGGAGCAGCAGCTGCAGATGGAAAACCAGCAGAAAGGGGAAGCCATGATGAAGGTGGAGACACTAGATGACAAAGTGTCAGAGCTGGAGCAGCAGCTGCAGACGGAAAACCAGCAGAAAGAGGAAGCCATGATGAAGGTGGAGACATTAGACGACAAAGTGTCGGAGCTGGAGCAGCAGCTGCAGACGGAGAACCAGCAGAAAGAGGAAGCCATGACAGAGGTGGAGACATCAGATGGCGGGGTGTCGGAGTTGGAGCAGCAGCTGCAGGCGGAGAACCAGCAGAAGCAGGAGGCTCTGGAGAAGGTGGAGATGCTGGAGGTGAGAGTGGCTGACCTGGAGAGGCAGCTGGAGGAGCAGAGCCACACTTCGAGTGACTCTGATGACCAGGTGAGCTGAGTTTGTTTCGGACTACAACCTTTTAGATACAGTTCACGTTTTTAGTTGTGCTTGATGTTTCAAGACTAATGCTCACATTTTGTTTTCCAGATGAGACGGGAGTTCGCAGAGACCGTCCAGCTGTGTGAACACCTGGCAACCGAGAAGGTAATCCTTAAAGGATTGATGTGACTCTGGCTTATATCACAACACTGAGGACACTGTAAACCTGCAAAAAAATAATCAGTTTTATTGTTATTGCTACATGAGAATTCTCAGTAAACACATAAAACAATTCTGAATTTATTACAAAAAAGTACATCAATATTCTATGTAAAAAAAACAATGTGCACATTTTTCCTGTGGGATTATTAGACTGAGTAGATCGACCATGCTGTACGTCGTTTTGATGCAATTGGATGAAGTTAAAAAAGCCATCAGCTTCCCTTAGGTTAAAACTCTGTTAATGTTAAAACCCTGATTGTCTCCATTCGGTTAATTATTTCAAGTGATGCTTGTAGCCGTTTGATTGGATGAACTTGTATGTCTGCAGGACGTGATGGCTGCAGAGCTGGGCTACCTGAAGCAGGAGCTGGGGATGTTCATCGAGCAGACCGAGAGTCTGGAGACGGAGAAAGCTGCTATGTGGAAGGAGCTGGAGGAGAGACGAGAGACGGATGAGTTCAAGAGTCTGGAGGAGGAGTTCAGGAAGGAGCAAGAGGTAAACTTGTTGATCATTTTCAGATTCCATCTCGCTGATACAACGCCCAATCCATATACAGTTGAGTTATAACGCTGATTTTTGACTTTGTGTTTTCTTTGTGCTCTTACAGAACGAGCTGCAGAATGAAATCTCCAGCTTGAAGGAGGCGGTCCAAGCCTCTGAAGTGCAGTGTCAGGAGCTGCAGGTGAGATGACTCGCTGACAGGGTCCTCCTGCGGTTCATTGCAGGACCAAAAACCACAAAGTACAGTTCAGTTTCAACTGTTTGCACTCAAACCGGCCGAGGGGAAACTGGGTGCGGCATAAAAAGTGACCCTCTCTTTCTTTCCTTATTCCTGATGATGATCCATAAACAGACAAGTTTGAGTGTTAATGCATGTGATTGCATTTATCTGTGTTGTAAAAATCAATGAATAATCGTGAACTTAAAATCAATCAAAAATAATCGTGATTAGGATATATGACATAACTGTGATTTATGAAGAGCAGCCCTACGAGGTCACAAAACGTCTCAGAATTCATCCTGACGCTGTTATTTATCAAGCATGCCGGACCCCCGTCGGGAGTGAAGGGGGCGTGTCAGCTTCCGCATTCAGAGACACGTGCAACCACAAAAACAGCCTCAATCCCAGCGAGGCAGAACAATCCAATGATAACAAACATTAACATAGAATAGACACATGTGACACAGTAATATCTACTCTCATATCTTGGTTTAAAATTGATTTAAACTCGTTTTGACATCTTCAGTAGAAACAAAAGGTTGTCATTCAAATCCTTGTGTCTTCATGTATTGTAACAAATCAGATGTGAAAAGCTGTTTGTTAAATATTCTTTACGTGTCTGCTGTCCTAGAACAAACTAGACGTTTTGTCTGAGGAGCTGAAGAAGAAAAGTGACTTTGTAGAGGAACTCCAAAGTATGGTACGTGAGATTTCTTTCTTTTTCCTCTTAAACATTTTAACGGCATGTGTCCACTGATGCCGTTTTTTGCTCTGCAAGCTTCAGTGAACAAAAACCTTTAATCTGTCATTAGACTGAGTGCTTTATCGGAACGAGGCAGATTGTGTTTACAACTGCAACAAGGCTATAGTGGACCGTGTTTGATCCAAATGTTGCTCATGGCAGCGCTCGGTTAAGAATATGACTCAAGTTATTTGTTTGTCTTTTAATCTTCTGTACGTTTCTGCATGATTACACCAACAATCATAGTAATAACTGAGATTGTATTATTTTAAAACAAGCATTGAAAGTATCACAGTATTGAACATTTTTGCCTCTCCCCTGCAGAGTGGTAAGGATTTGGTGCAGGAGGTGGCGAAACTTCGGCGCTCTCTGGACGACGCCGAGGGGCTCAGCAGAGACACGAAGAAGGAGTGGGCTCACCTGCGCAGCGAGAACATCGCTCTGGAGGAATCCAACGTGAGTGGAGTCAAAACACAAAATTAATTCTGTGAACTATAATTCTATCAAGCATAAAACAATTTTATTTAATGATATATCGATGAAGAGAGAGAGGGGGCGCTGTTGCCAATGAACAACCTCTTCACTTTAAAGCTGATCAAAACATGTTTGATGTTCCTCTTGTTTTGGCGACTCTTAAAGATCAATAATGAACATTATTTTCAAAATAAAAATCCAAAACTGAGGAAATAAAAAGGGTCCCTTTTCAAAACTTCATGGCTAAAACTTTGACAACATATTTGTACAATTTAGTTAGTGTGCAGGAGTTCATTACAAACAAGAAATTATCCATTAAAAGCACTTTCCTAAATCATAAAAAAGGAGTTTATATTTATCTGACTGCTTGTCTTCATTGTTGAAAAAGTAGCCATGTGCTTTTATATTAGAAAACTAAGGATGCAACCCATCATGATGCATCAAGATATTGAAGTGAAATCGAGTCGTTGACATGATAATTGTGAGACCAGTGAAAAATGCACAGACAGACACAGCTGTTTTTTTTGTTTTTTATTTACTAAAGGTTTAAAATTCTGGTATCATCGTTAAATCTCTAGAATATAATTTAAAAGACTTTTGAATTTATTTTAGTGTGTTTCCACATGATGCTCTGCTGTTTTCATTTTTTTCCCCCTCAGTGATTCAGTGTCAGACATTTCTAAGATCAACACCTTGACTTTGCTTAGGACTAACCTTTTTTCATTCTGGCTCTGTTTGTGTTCACACAGACTTATTTCCTAAACTTCATCAGATCACCTCGTTTGACTTCTGTCCAGAATCTTCTATTTATTCCTAAAAAGACACATATTTGTATCTTTTATTTAATGCATTTTTTCCTGCGCTCCTCTCCAGGTGACTCTGACCACAAACCATGAGAACATGGAGGCCGAGGTGAGCAGTCTGCGCTTTCAGCTGGAGAAGGAGAAGTCTCGCTACAGACAGATGCAGAGCGATCTGCAGAAAGAACTGAACGTCGTGTTTGACGAGAACACAAAGCTCACCACGCTGCTGGATGGAAAAGTCCCAAAGAGTGAGTTTAAGTGCTGGTATCTGGTTCCTGAGTGGCCTTTCTGATGGTTGGGTTTTGGTTAAAGGACTCTTAAGTGTGCAGATTCAGATGTGGGATTTTCTCTGTCTGTAGATCTGATTGACAGCGTGGAGCTGGAGAGAACCGTGGCCAGCCTGAACAGAGAGCTGGCGGTTTCTCGTGAGGCGGAGGAAGCCCTCAGAGCTCAGCTGGACGAGCTCGCTTCAATACAGACTCTTCAAGACAAAGTGGACAATCTGACGCAGCAGGTCAGCCCTCCGAACATCCTTTACATGCAGATCTTATCACAGACATGAGATCCAATCATGTGGTGTCGTTCTTTCTGTTTTCATAAGGTGTGTGAGCTGACGGAGGAGCTGTGTGCCGCTCAGACTCACAGGGACAGTCTGATCTCGGCTCAGGCTCAGAGTCAGGAGGAGGCTCTGCAGCTCAGAGACGCCCTGCAGATGAGCCAGGAGGAGATCCTGACGGTCCGAGCAGAGCTGAGCGATGCAGCGCTGAGAGAGGAGCAGGTGAAGGAGCAGGTGGAGTTGCTGCGTCAAACCCTGGAGAACTCCGAGGCCGAGAAGAGTCAGCTCAACTCTGCCGTCCAGGAGGAACTCTCAAAGGTGGGCTGAGGAAAACTAAAAATTACACTGCTGCCTGATCCGATCTGTAGTAAAGTTAGTCCAGACAGTACAAAGGAAGGTCAAATTAAAAAATACACAACCGACATTTCAATGTTTCTGATCTGAATTTGATCAGCGTACATTAGTGTAAGTAAATGATCGGGCTCTTCAGCATAGGTTGGTTCTTGGTAATAAAGGACTGTATTCAGGTTTAATCATGGTTATATTTCTTTTGTAGCTGACGGAGAGTGAAGAGCAGAGAGAATCGCTGACAGAGAAACTGAACGACATGCAGCAGCTGGTGAAGGATTTGGAGGAGAAGCTCGCTGACAGTGAAGTTTCCAAGACGACCGAAGAGGAGATAGCAAAGAACTCCAAGAACAAGTACTGTAATCTCCTTATAGCTGCATTTATTTGACATCTCTTACTGTGTCTTCTTTTTTCTATGTTTTCTTGTGTTAAATATGATGGATATGTAAATAATAATAGTAGGTGGAAACAAGTTTATTTGTACTGTTGCAGCTGAACCAGCTGACTGAAGAGCTCCGGGTTGTCCGAGCAGAGACAGACGCCTCCCTGTGTGCTGGAGCTCAGCCTTCAGCGGAGACGGAGAACAAGCTCTTCACTGTGGCTGCAGAGAGAGACCAGCTCAAGGCCGACCTGCAGAAACATGTGGACATGGTGAGATGCTGCTTTTGACCAAATTACAACATATCTGGTTTTATCTGTTAATTTATGTTGTCTTTAACTTTAGTAAGCCTTCCTACTCAATGTGTTACGTCATTTTCAGGCTGCAGAGACGCAACTTCTTCTTCAGTCTCTTCAAAACGAGCTCCAGGAGCAGAGGTCAGATCTGGAGAAACTGTACGAGCATAAGGAGTCTGATTTAAGGGAACAGGTGAGTTGAATATATGTGAAGCAGTTTTCTTATCCTTGATGTCTTTTTTTCCCCTCTCAGTGCTGAAACTGCTCGACTGTTGTTTGAAAATCTTTCTCAACAGATGCAGAGTCTGTCAGAGGAGCTTGAGCGCGTGCGAGCGGAGAAAGAGACTCTGCCGTCCGCAGCTCAGACGTCTTCAGAGGAGACGGAGAAGCTGCTGTCTGCTGTCTCCACGCTCACCGCCGAGAGAGATCAGCTCAGGATGGACCTGCAGGAAAACGTGGAGATGGTGAGTTGATATCTCACTACTCTGTCAACACTTTTAAAATGCTTTTTATTTCCCTGCACGTCAGGTCAAATTGTAATCCTTTCTTGGCTAAACAGACGATAGAGAATCAGGACGAGCTGAGGACGGCTCTGGAGAGAAACAATGAGCAGAAGGAGATGATTAAACAGCTGCAGTCTGCACGAACATCCAAACAGGACGGGCTTGATCCATCTGACACCAGTGCACAGCTGGAGGAGCTGCAAACACGAGTAAGAGAGTCTGAGGATAAAGAGGAAAACCACATATTTACTAGAATTTTCACGATACCAGATTTATTAAACTTTGTTACTATTCATGTAAAATCTAACAATATTGATATCTGGTTCGAAGAGGGCAACACAAGTAGAAGTCCAAAGCAGCCCGAAGTCAAGAAATGTCTCACTAGAAGTGTTTACATTTCCACAGATGATGACACTATCAGAGCAGCTGCAGAGCGTTGAATCAGAGAGAGACGCTCTGCTGCGTGAGAGGACGGCCGACTCTCAGACTGAGGAGATGGAGAAGCTGCAGCACAGAGTGACGTCTCTCAGCGAGGACAGAGATCAGCTGCAGGACACTCTGGATACTCTGAGGCAGGAGAAGCAGCAGCTCAGAGAGGAGAGTGAGGGCAGGATGGAGACCCTGCAGGAGGAGGTTTGTGTCTGTCAGAGAGCTTTTCTTCAAGGGTTGTCCCAATACCAGAATTATTATAGTAGGAATATTAATTCATAAAGTTAAGTGTCATCCAACCTCTCTGGAGGTTACATCAATACAGTTTCATTCTTTAAAAGGCACTTTTGCTTTCTATGCACCTATTGCACCTGTTTTATAAATTGCAAACATGTTTGAATGATTAATAAGCACTAATGGCAGCCGTGAACGAGAAGTTCAAGGAGAAGGACAAGAAGTTGGAAGAGATGCGAAAGAACGAGGAAACCAAAGAGGGCACTCTTTGGAAGACTGAAAGTTTCAAGCGGGGGATTGTACAGGGTTATTTACGTATCCAAAGATTGATTTCTTATTAATGATTAATAAGAAGGTAGAAGATGGTCTTGCATTTATAGAGCACATTGTAACTGTCAGTCACTTATAACATAACCAGAGCGCTGATTGGACACGCTTTGAACCGCTCCGACCACAAAGATCAGTTTTCCAATGACATATGAGGGACATTATTACCATTTTGAAAGTTAAAGATTTACACTTTCCCACAAACATAACAAATCCATATTCAGTCTGTTGTCAGCAGCTGTTTCCATTTGTGGGAAAGATAAAAGCTGCAGATCTGTATTGAAGTTTAACGGTGCCTGAGGAACGTTTGAGCTAAAAAGGCTGCTTTAATAGCATCCTTACAGGGCTGCACACATAAGATAAATCCTAACAAGTATATACGAAGTTTAGATTAAGAATGATTCTTTTTACCCAACAGATGAAAACACTAACAGAGCAGCTGCAGAGTGTTGTGTCAGAGAGAGAAACTCTGCTGTCAAAGAAGGAGACGAGCTGTCAGAGCTCGGAGGAGGAGATGGAGATGGAGAAGCAGCAGCTCAGGGAGGAGATGGAGAAGCTGCAGCACAGAGTGACGTCTCTCAGCGAGGACAGAGATCAGCTGCAGGAGACTCTGGAGGCTGTGAGACAGGAGAAGCAGCAGCTCAGGGAGGAGATGGAGGAAAGAATGGAGATGGTATGTTGACACTGGTTCTTCTAAATATTTGTAATTTTTGTCTGCATTGAAAGAAACAAATAATAAACGGATGGTTTCTCTTTCACAGGTGGCATTAGCTCATAGCGGGTTAAACCAGCCACAAACACTGAGCTCAGACCTGCAGACACACGATGAGAGAGTGACACAACTTCAGCAAGAGGTAGGAAACGTTCATCCAGTCTGACAACGATCAACATCACACATCTGAGATGCATCGCAGCTTTCAGACATGATGACGGTCTTTTAGGATGTATAATGGGGGCTTTTTGATATGACAGTGGACTGAGTAGGAAACAAGCAAGAGAGAAGGAGTGGGGGAATGACATCCGGTAAAAGGAGCCACAGGTTTGACTTGAATCCGGGCTGTCCGCTTGAACGGCTATAGCCTTTGTACATTGGGTGTGACCACTAAGCCATCTGAGCCCCATGATGATGTTTTTTGAGGAGCAACCAAAACAGTCTGGGACCCTTTGAGGTTATTTTGACAGGCTTGCAACTCTTCCCTCTCAATAGCTTTAAGCAGAAACATAAAGCACAGCATCTATATCACCATAAGTGACCCCCCGCCCTCCTTTATTCTCTCTCTGTTTCTCTTTTCTTCTTCTTCTTGTTTGGGATGTTATTTTTTAGCAATGTAACTGTTGTTAACATGCTACAATCTCATGAAATTTGACATACTTTATCTATCATACATGAGAAGAAGCAAATCTATGAGTTTCAATAAAAGTTTCATCCCGCCCCCCAGACAGAACAACTTCAGGCTGCACTTCAGACCGTCAGCGAGGAGAAGAGTCGCCTGGAAGAAGAGCTGCGGAGAAATGTGGAGACGGTGAGAGAAATTGTTTTTTTGATGCCAAAGTGACTTCTCTGTATTCTACCTCTCATATTAATACGTTAATAATAGATCAGTCGATAATCTGCAACTTTTTGTCTGAATTTTCAGGCTGCAGAGACACAGAGTCGTTTAGAGTCACTTCAACAGCAGCTTCAGGAGCAGAATCAAAGAAACAACGACCTGGAAAGTTCGAGCCGTGAGGGACAAGCTCAACTAGAACAACAGGTCTGTTTCTCATTACATATCTCACTAAAGACGTATAAGTAAGTGTCCCTTTTCATGAAGACTGTATCTGTTTGATGCTCTCTCATTATCAGGTGTCAGAGGCTGAGTGTCGTCTGCGTTCTCTGGAAGACGAGCTCCAGCAGGAGAAACAAAATAACTCCAATCTGATGAAACTCTGTGAGCAGAAGGAATCCGACTTAGAGCAACAGGTGAGTTCTAACTTTAATTAAAAAAACAGCTGTTAGTTAAGACATCCTTCATTACAAACATCTCATGAGTGTTGTTTGAAAAAATCTTTCACCCACAGACGAAGACTCTTTCAGAGCAGCTCACGGTGGCTCGAGCAGAGAGGGACACCGTGATGTCAGAGAAGGAGACGAGTTGTCTTAACTCCTCGGAGGAGCTGCAGCACAGAGTGACGTCTCTCAGCGAGGACAGAGATCAGCTGCAGGAGACTCTGGATGCTCTGAGGCAGGAGAAGCAGCAGCTCAGGGAGGAGATGGAGGAAAGAATGGAGATGGTACGTTAATGCTGACACTAGGCAAGTGTTTACAGACACTGCACATATAAAGCAACAATGTTACTTTTCTTCCTTAAGAGGAATCACGAAGCTAAACAACTTTTAGCAGGGGAAATGTCGTCTTTCACACATCCATAGATTGCTCCTGCTGCCTGCTCATAGAACTATGTTAGTTTGGCAGCAGGCTGCAGTTCTCTAGCCAGAGGTGTGTACGGCTTTACGACACTAGCCAGTTAGCCCATCTCTGTTCTGTTTGATACAACGGCTGAGGCTAAAAGAAGAAGAGGACGGTGACAGATGAAGCTAAGAAGAGAATGGTAGAGAGGGAGTGAGCGAGCAAGGAGCAGAGTGAACATCCCTGCAGATATTATTAAGAACAGATTGAGACGTAACGTTATGCTGTATCATTATCAGTGTCATCGTTGCTTCATGCTTAGCAGCTCAACTGGGTGCAGAAAGTCATTTAACCCAACTTATGTGTCAGGTTTGATCCAAATAAATAAATCCATCTACACCAAAAAGTTGTCTCAACATCAGGCTGTAGATGTAGAGTCATGTTTGCGCATCATCTAGCAATATTACTGCGCCTTGGCAGTCTTCTTTGGTTTCTAACAACACCCCTCTGCTTGTCAACAAATGCATGCTGACTGTGATCACACAAGAGAGTAGATACAATCTTGCAGAGATCTCATTTTTATGTGTTCCTTTTTCTCTCTCTCTCTCTCTCTCTCTCTCTCTCTCTCTCTCTCTCTCTCTCTCTCTCTCTCTCTCTGTGTTTAGCTGCAGAGTGAGTTACAGCAGCAGCAGCTCAGCTCTGAGTCTCAGTCACTGAGAGAAGAACAGGAAGCTCAACAACTCCTGCAGGTCAGATCACATCTTCCCTCTTAGCAAATTTTCACCCCTCATCTGCATCTTTTACTTTTCAACTTCACGATTTAGGATACCGGTTATATTGTCCCTGTGACGATCCTCTTTTTCCTCATGAGAGAATGAGACTAAAACTGTTGCTGTCTGTGATTCAGATCCAACAGCTGGAGGAACATCTGTCGAGGGCCGAGCAGGAGGTGAGCCAGCTGAAGTCTGACCTCCAGGAAAATGTAGAACTGGTGAGTTAAGATAATTGTTTTTCAATCACTGACTATTCTTTGCTTAAAAAGTATTTCACAGATAAGTGAATGTACTGTTTGTTTGCGGCTCTTATAAAAAAAAAAAAATTGGTGATGTCTTCCAGATGATCGAGAACCAGGAGGAGCTGAGAGTTTCCCAGGAGAAGATCAGAGTCCTGCAGGAAGAGATCAACGTGATGAGGAAGGAGAAGACGGAGCTGGAGGGCAAACAAAGCGAGAGGAACGATGGAGAGGCAACGCTGCAGATACAGCAGCTCCAAAACAAGGTTTGACACACTTTGATCAATTTATTAAACAGGTCACACAAAATAAACCTGCTGTTGCTTCCTTAATAGATCATGTAACTCACAATGTTTACAACGCCCTTTCTTTCCTTCAGGTTCAGAGTGTGACCGAGCAGCTGCAGAGCGTTGAATCAGAGAGAGACGCTCTGCTGCGTGAGCGGACGGCCGACTCTCAGACTCACAGTGAGGAGATGGAGAAGCTGCAGCACAGAGTGACGTCTCTCAGCGAGGACAGATATCAGCTGCAGGAGACTCTGGAGGCTGTGAGGCAGGAGAAGCAGCAGCTCAGGGAGGAGATGGAGACCCTGCAGGAGGAGGTTTGTGCCTGTCATTTACCTCAGATATAGAACAATAGTTATTTTAAAATGACTAGATTTGTGAAAGAAACAATAGTTAATTGTTTTGCATCAAAGTGCTTTGAACGAAGAAAGAAAAAAGATACAATGTACCGGTAGTTGTTTAAATATAGAGTTAGAGTTAAACACCTTTGTGCCACTTTCTGATTGCATTTCATAATAAAGGGGCACAACAAACGTACACACTCAGACATGCAGAGCTGTTCCACCTTTCCAGCTCTTATGTTACACATTGCAGGTGCACGTGTCTGTTTCCCATTTGATGACAGACAGTTAGAATTAATCCATAATTTCTTCTACAGGTAGCCCAGCTGAACATGACTCTGCAGACTCTGATGGAGCAGAAGAAACAGCTGGAAGACGATCTGCAGCAGAACATCAACATGGTGCGAAAAAAAAACAATCATCATCACGGAGTCAATCTGAGCTGAAACCTAAAACTTTGAGAAATTACTACATTTATTTCATTCAGATTATTGTTCTAAACTCCTAAATGTTGTGTGTTTGAGTCTGACAAAAGCTGACATTTGACGTTTAGGCTTCAACAGCTCAAGAGCTCCTAGAATCAGTCCAAGAGAAGCTGCAGAACAAAAACGAGTCAACGGCAACCTGGAGAGAGAGTTTCAGGAGAAGGATGACGCTCTAGATCAACAGGTGAGTGTCAGTTTGTTATAAAAAAAAAAACAACTAGCTTCCAGAGAAGGAGTTTTCCTCTGACTGATCCTCTCTTCTCAGGTGAGGACACTAACAGAGGAGCTGCAGAGTGTTTCCGCAGAGAGAGACAAACAGGTGAAGACTCTGTCAGAGAAGCTCACGGTTGCTCACACAGAGAGGGACGCTGTGATGACAGAGTTGGAGACCAGCTGTCTGAGCTCCTCGGAGGACATGGAGAAGCTGCAGCACAGAGTGACGTCTCTCAGCGAGGACAGAGATCAGCTGCAGGAGACTCTGGAGGCTGTGAGGCAGGAGAAGCAGCAGCTCACACAGACCATGGAGGACAGGATGGAGACACTGCAGGAGGAGGTTTGTGTCTTTCAGAGATTTACTTCTAAAATGTCCCGTTTTCACTCTTTAGGCCTGCAAAGAGCAGTCGAAAAAGTCAGCCGACCTCTCAAAAGGCAAATCATTAAAGAGATCAACAGTAACAATAGAAAGTCTTTCAATCAATATTTGGCATCTTGGACTGTAATTTTCAGTTCAACATCAGAGTCCGTCATGTTGGCTGACACTTTTGTTTATATACTGATATCCCAAGTTAGTTTTCAACCTGGCAAGAAATATTCTAGTGTTTTACATATTGAGAGATCTTGTGGCAAGACATCTCGTCAGACTCCTTCCAGCCCTACTTATCTGACATTTATTAATGGGGACCTAGAATCTAGACCCTGATCCCTGCAGTTAGAAAACTCTGAGGTCAACCACAATTTCCTCAAAGATGCTGCTTAAAAAAGAACATCTGGTTAGGCTTCATATATTGTGTCTTACACATGAAAGCCATTGGTACAGTATATATGTAGTTTAAACTATTTAGAGATTAAAAAATGATCTTTTTGTACCCCACAGATAAAGACTGTAAGTGAGCAGCTGCAGAGCGTTGTATCAGAGAGAGACGCTCTGCTGTGTAAGAGGACAGCCGACTCTCAGACTCACATTGAGGAGATGGAGAAGCTGCAGCACAGAGTGACGTCTCTCAGCGAGGACAGAGATCAGCTGCAGGAGACTCTGGAGGCTGTGAGGCAGGAGAAGCAGCAACTCACACAGACCATGGAGGACAGAATGGAGATGGTACCTGCATCTCTAGATACAGAATGCTTTTGGGCTTAACTTTGTTTCCATGTTACTAATAGTCTTTTCCCCTTTCAGATCTTGTCCCTGCAGGAGCAGCTGAGCAGGCAGGAGGCTGAGAGAGAAGAGAGGGAGGCCGAACTGCAACAGAAGGTACGTTCAAAATCATTAAATGTCAGAGTCAGAAAGTAAAAGTCACAATTTAAGAAGATAGGCCTTATTCTTTTTTTGTCATCACTCTTGAGCTATCGGTCTCACTCCTCAGTTTTCAGAAGATTTAGTGATGATGGTTTTGCTCGCTTGTCTTTCAGCTGCTCACTGAAGCGAATGAAACCATCTCCGCCCTCAAAGAGCAGCTGAGCGGTTTGGATCAGAGCAGCAGAGGAGTCAAAGAGAGTGCAGAATCACAGCTGCAGGACTCTGCTGATCAGCTTCAGGTAACTTTACAATTTTTTTTATTTAGTCAACAGCTGAGAGGCAAACATTATAGTTAAGCACAACTCAGATCTTGCTGAACTCGTGTCTCTGCAGGAAGCGTTCAGAAAGTTGCAGAACTTCATCGAGGCGTGCTCCAAATTTAACTCCACAGCTCTGGGTTTGGCCCCGACCGTGCAGGAATCGCTCACCCCCCTGCCAAAACCCGCCAACGAAGCCTTTTGTCAGGTTGAACTGCAGGCGGCGCAGACTCTGGGAGAGATCATTGTAAATATGAACATTTATGTAAATCTGAAATGTATCAAAGCTCTCTAAGGATCAGGTAATAACATCAACGCCCTGCTATCTGCCCCCTCAGGATCACGTGCAGGTGAGTGCGCAGGGCTACAGGACTCTGTTTGAGGAGCTGGTGAGGAAAGATCTAGATGTTTATGAGGAGAGACGCCTGCAGGACGTGTTGCTGTGCAGAGCTCAGGCCCCCAGCTTCTCTGTGAAAGACGAGGACTTTAACTCCATGTGGGAACAGAGACTGAGCGAGCTGCTGGACAAGAGGAACCTCTACCTGCAGGTGAGCTGTTCTTAAACGTTGTCTCAATGGCCAATAACAGTATGTCCAAACCTGTGTCCTCTGTTGACCTGTTTTAGTGGACTACTAAAAAAAAGCTAACAACATGAACAGATCTCCATTAGCGCCTTGTTTCTATGTATCTTCATAATAGAATTTGTAACCAGCTTTGCAGCGGCTGTGGGTTCAAATCCGACCTCTGCCCTTTGCTTCATGTCATCCCCTCTCTCCTTCCCTCTCTCTCTCTCTCTCTCTCTCATGCCATCATTTCCTGTCTCTCTTCAGCCATCATATCTAATAAAGGCAGAACAGTCAAAAAGAAAATGATCGGTGTAATCTAAGTGCATGACAAGGACACTGGCACTGTTTCCTGAATGCTGTTGGAATAATCAGTCAGCGGTACAGCTGAGTTTGCGGGATTTTTGTTAGTCATGATAAATTCACTGAGTGCTGCCTTTGTAAAACTAGTGTTTTTAATGAAAACAACTTTCAGACTTTGACGAGGGTTGGGGGCAGCCACCTGTAATATTATATGCAGGACAAACCCTGCAGACAACACATCTGTTTTAAAACCCCTCAAGATGAGTCCAAAACTGTAGTTTCCATTTGACATGTTTTATGGGGGTTTGTTTTTGCTCCTCTATGGTCTTATTGTGATAAAACTTACTTGCATACTGAACTCATAAAAAGATCAAGCAGCTGTTTCTTCCTGGAGGATCTCAGAGATTCTTAACCAAATTAACAATTAGTGAAAGAGCTCCTAAGAAGAGTAGGTATTTACCTCTATGATGTCTGTTTGTTGTGCAGAAAATGGAGTGTGTTTCGGAGAAGCTGTTGGAGAACATTAAGATGTACTCCAGTGAGGTGTCCACTGAGAAAAGAGAGCGGGCGAGGTTCAAGGAGCAGCTGAAGTTAACCAGCACCAGCAAGCTGGACTCCTTCCTGAGCCGAGAGCTGGACACCAGATCAGCTCTGTCTCGCAGCAGGAAGACCACTCTGAAGGTAATAACTCCAACTCCCATATCTGCAATGTTGTTGTGCAATTTAGACGATGTGCAGGAGTTTATTGCACTTTTTGATGGACTTATTACTCTCCTACACACCTGTCTTACAAAAAAGATGTAGTTTTATTTTAAAGCTTCAGTGCTTTTCCATACTGTGATCATTAAACACATGGTATTAAAAAAAAAAATGAAAGATTGACCACCTTGCTATCAGTTTCCCCACAGTGTATAAATGTGACATTGCTTCTTTCCTGCAGGGCATCATCGATGAACACAACAGTCTGTTCAAGGAGATGAAGCTGCTGCAGACTCAGACAGACACTCGGCTCCAAGAGGAGAGAAGCAGAAGGTCAACACTGCTGCAGCCACTAGAGGGCGCTCCTCTGAAGACAGAGCTGTCTCTGATGAAAGACAACAAACAGCTCTGTCTTCAGCTCCAGGAAACAGAGGAAAGAATCAAAGTATGTGTGTACGGTGTGCACGTAATGTCAAAATCAATTTGACGGCTAGTGCTCACTGGGATGTTCAATAAAAATGCACATTTTTTCAAATCCGTCCAAGAGTTTACAAATTAAATCTTAGGGCACTGGTTACTATTTCACACAGTCTTAAGTCCACTGTCCTGCTACACAGAGTACTCAGTGTACAGCACCTGATTTATATTAATCAGTCCTGAAACCATTTGCTGTTGTTAGAGTAACTTTAGATCTGTCAACTGTTTTAAAGATTTACATCTTCAGTTGAAACCTCTTAGTTTAAGGCTCAGTATTGAGAGAGGGATGTAGTATTATCAAGGGAAAGATTTCTCCCTCACCTGTTCCTATGCACAGCAGTGACATGTAATGTGTAGCAGATCTGAGAAACCGTGAATCTTCTTGTTGGTGACAGGTGCGTCTCTGTGTTTTCAGGCTCTGTGTGCACACAAACAGCAGCTGGAGGAGGCTCAAATCAAAGCCAACAACAGGGTGTCCAACCACAAAGAGGCCACACAGCTCCTGCAGACAGAGCTGCAGGACAGCCGTGCTCAGGTGGAGGAGAAGGAGAACATGATCCAAACTCTGAGGAGCAAACTGAGAGAGTCGGAGGTCGGTCTGAAGCAGCTTCTGTTATCCTCAGACTGTGGATCACATCTTTGAATTAACTATGAGCAACTTCATCCTGACGTTGTCACAATATCTGAATTTTAAACTTTGATACGATTCTAGTGAATATCTAGCGATGTCAAACAATGGCAACAAAAATAGAAGTGATGTGCGTCTGATATTTAGTAATTTGTTGTTTTTAATGAACAAAACTCCAGCACACTGTCTAAATGTGGATACTGAAATGTTGCCAAGGTTTTTGTGCAATGTAGACATTGCTCTCCCTCTTTCACTTGCAGCATAGTTTCTTAAAGGATTTGATACTTTTCAACACTATCGATCATTAAAGTGCCTGACATTGTGTTGATTTAAAGGCGTTGTATAGAAAACCGCAACCTCACTGTATTCTGGTCTTGTGTGGTGTTTATTGTTGTTGTTCAAAATAACTTTGTAAGCTGATATTTGTGTCTGTGTTTCAGAGAAATGTCAACCCCAGTGCTGCTGAGCTGGAAAAACTCCGGACTGAATTATTTAAAATGGAGGTGGAGTTGAGTTCAGCGTCTGATAAGCATCAACAAGAGTAAGAGCATTTTGTGTTGTTTCAAACATGGAACTTAATTTGATTATAGAAGTGTACAGCAACCCTGTTTCAGTCGTCTTGATACTTTCTAAATCAGAAAAACATGTCTGGATTTATTCTTCTCCTTCTCTGATTGTCTGTTTTTCGTCAGGATCCAGAGGATGACCACGCTGCTGAAGGAGAAAGAAGAGTCTCTGAGGAAGCTGAAGGAGACTTTGAGGAAATCCCAGCAGCAGGGAGAGGAGTCGTGTGAGTTCACAGTGTGTGTCTGTGTTACTGTTCTGGAGAAAGGTGTTATTTTTTTCCTTGAATAAACAGAGTGTAGTATCTGGAGATGACGAGCCAAAAAGACAGACAGGCAACAGTTTCAGAACTGTTTGCAAAATGTCTCTTCTATATTCAAATATATACTTTTTCTTTCTCTGCTAAATTGGCGCTAATTCATCCAAGAGTAGCTAAGGAAGCATTGCTTGGCTAAATTAAGTGTTTTTTTGTTTGTTACGATAAATTCAGACTTTCACTAACCTCAGGTTACACAGTTGTATGTGCAGCTACTGATGAATCATCACATCTGTTGATAACAACTGTAAATAAAACGTGTATTTAAGGGAGAGGAGGACAAGTGGAGTGGCTGTGAAATCAATCCAGCATTTGTAGTTCTTGAAAATATTTGTTACTCACTTAAAGAGGAGACTGTCACTAATGTAGGCTTGTTGAATTCAGTCCTGCAGGGGGAGGACCTTCATGCCAGACTCACAAACCCCAGAGGAGTCGTCATCAAGACCAGCATCCTGCAGGAGACGACCAAACTGGAGGAGGAGGTCAAGCAGCTGCAGATGAAAATAACCGAGCTGGAGAGGTGAGGTGCAGCCGTCTGAGGGTGAAACAGCGCTGACGGGTGGTGTTATTTATTTAATCTCACATCTTATCCATCCCTCTGTCCCGTCAGCCTGGTGTCCGCCCAGCAGGCCGAGATCAGCAAGTGGAAGAGCAGAGCCATCAAACTGAAGGCCAAGAACAGAACCGACGCAGACAAGCCCTCACCCCCCTGCACCCCCACCAAAAGAGGCCTCCCCGTCACCTCCGACTCCTCCACCTTCTACAGCTCACCCAAGAAGTTTCTGATCACTCCCAGGAAGGTCTTGGACTCTCCCAGGAAGCCTTTGGAGTCTCCCATGAAGCAGCTGGACTCTCCAAATGTCCATCTGCTCGACTCCCCTAAGAGCCGGTTCTTTGACGTGGGTGGAGGCACTGAGCTCCTTTCCAGGACCTGTCCCAAACAGTTCTTTGATAACTCCAGCCTGGGAACTGTTCCAGGTAAGCTCGAAGTGGACTGTACTGTACAACTGTACTGTTGTGGGTCTGATAATCCTGACGCTATAAAGACCTGAGCTGTTTGTTTTACCAGAGGTGTTCGATGTTCCTGATTCACCAGCTGAAGAGAAGGGTAACTGTTGTAACTTCTGTTTCACTGAGGGTGTGCTAACAGAAGCATGGGGTGATGGGACTCTACTAGTCTGACACTGAGCCTTAAAACCTGAATCAGGATGATTCCAGAATTTTACACTTATATTAAATACTTGACAACAAAAATAGACGTTCTCTGGACCTATTTCAATATACATTTTTCGATGACCAAAAATTGCAGACTAACTCCTGTACACTGTCTTAATTCTACAAGTTGGCAATGTTTCTATACCCAAATGTTGCCAATCTTATTTGTGCAATATTGACAGTGCGCTCTCTTTTACTCACAGCAGCTTTTGGTAAAAATGTGTCTAAGATCTTAAAGGTCACATATTATTTTCCTTTTCAACAAGTTTAAGTCAGTCTCAGAACTCCTCAAAACATTTGTGTGAAGTTTCTTGTTCTAAATCCACTCTGATCCTGTATTTGATCATGTCTATAAACCCCTCTATTTCAGCCCTGCTCAGAACAGGCTGTTTCTATGTCTGTACCTTTAAATTTAAATGAGCTGTGTCTGACCACGCCCCCTCTCTAGAAGGGCTTGGGTGGCCTAAGCTTTCTCGCTCCATGTCCTATTGTTTACGGCGAGACGGCAGACTCAGAGGGCAGAACAAACAACTAGCTGTGGGAGTGTCACCCACCTAGGGGAGGGGTTACTGCCCTTTGTGATGTCATGAAGGGAAAATCTCCAAACGGCCTGTTTGAGCACACATTTTCTGAAAAGTGGAGCAGGCAAAAGACGAAGAGGATGGACTTTTCTAATTACTGTGGGGTGTAGACAGACTAGGGACACATGAAAGTTTGACAAATATGGTAAAGTGTGTTTTCCGTAATATGTGACCTTTAATTATTTGAAGCTTTGATACTTTTTGATACTACCGATCGTTAAAATAACAATAATGTTATCGTTTTGGAACACGTGATGTGTTGTGTTTCAGGTGCGGGAGCGTCTGCAGACAGAAAGGACGAGTGGTGGCCTCAGTCTCCAAAGCAGGAGGACATGTGCAAGACCCAGTGAAGAGTTTCACACAACGTGCAATAACTTTAAATGTATCTCTAATGTTTCAAGCTTTTACTTTTTCTCTAATTCCTTTATTCCAACCTTCTGTTTGTCTTTTAAGTTTAAATAAAAAAAATCTCTTAATAAACTCTTTGACTGTTATTTTAACATACCTATATATTTGAAACGGTTAGTCAATGGCAGTGTAATGTTTCCGGTTTGTAATGCTGCTCTGAATTACAGAAGCTACTTTTAGTGAAGAGTTGATTACACATTCGTCACTCACATTTCACTCATTCAAAAATATTCAGGAATAATATCTAGACCCCCCCTTTAATATTTCCTATAAATGTTTTGAATTTTAGGATGTGATCTTATCTAAAGGTCGATTAGATGGTATCTAAACGTTTAGAATACCTCCTATTGTGATAGTGTAAGTGATACAACCTATTGACTATAACTTTCATAATAAATAGCTCAGAAAATATGCTAATATATAATTTTACAATTGCAAAACACATTATAAACAAACACCACACACACAGCCCTCCAACATACAATGTTTCAATATGTCATTAGTTCCTGCTCAGTTTTGTTCTGTCTTGTTTTTGCCGTTTTAAATGTTAACACATTGTCCCCACATAGTATTGCTGTTGTAATGTCTCTCACTCGTCCTTTACTGTTCTGCATCACTTCATTTAAAATAAATATATATATTTATATATATATATACATATACTAAGTATAGTTTTCAGATTCACAAATGATATAAATGATCCATAATACATGTATCTCTCAATTACTGCCTTATCTGTAGCGGCTATTTTTTGGGAAAAACATATGAGGACATTGAGTATGCAGGCAAACCAAGTCCTATGTTATTGCTAAGGTTGAGTTCTTTGTTTCTGATGGTTTATTTTCCAAAAAGGAAACAAAGGAATAGAAAATCTTGGCTCCTGCTGCCTCATGCACTGGAAATAAACAATAGGTCCACAACAGGTCCTCTACCTGCCTACAGATATCAGATAATACACAACTTCAGGTGTCTATGGTGTTACCCAAATACAAAACAAACTACAAAATACTTTAGCAAAAGAAAATATCAAATTAACATGAAGAAAATGTATAGAATAATCAACCAATACCACTTTATTATTAGTAAACTAAAATATAAGTAAATTATTAGGAAAGAAAGCCTTTATTGTCATACAATTGTACAACAAAATTAAAAATGCTTTACCTTAAAGTGCACAGACAAACTGGCATCCATCATCAACAAACAACTCTGAGTAGGAGAAGAGGGATAAAATATTTACAGAAGATAAATTGCAATTTAAAAAAGTAGCTTGTCAAAAATATGATTTTACAGGTATTCTATTGTTTGTTCTTAAAGTTTCAATAAAAAAAGGTCAAAGTGAGCATTGTGTAGCACTTACATTCTTGTCAGGTTAATCATATTGGGATATCTGTTTTGAATTAAAAAACAAAAGCACGTGATTTTACTTTGAAGGATTGATGCGAAGGAACTGGAATGTGGCCAATCAGAGAACTCGTAAGAGGATGCGTCACTACGTAGCACGTCTTAGCGTCAAGCGCGGGAGCTTTGGTTATCGAACAGCCGAAATTTGAGGGAAACAAGAAGTGAGCAGGTAGGTGGAACATACAGCTAATTATATGATTAATTTAAGCAGTTATAACATCATAATGTAGAGATAACGTAAGTTTTAACTTTTATTTAGATTAACACATTTTGTTTGATTTTAGACATCTAACGTTAGTCTCAGATGCAGAGAAGTGCTAATGCTAAAGAGCTACTTCGAAGTTGTAGGATTAATTATCTCAGTCGCTGCTATGGAGCTTTAAACGTTTGAATTGGGGTTAGTGACAGAATGTAAATCACGTTTTCTACTGTTAGTTTGTCAACAACGTGAATCCTGAAACAGAAGTAGTCTTTAACTTTTATATAGCCTGATCCGTGATGTCCGGGGAAGTCGGGTGTTCAATCGAATTATGCTACCCATCAAAAAAACACAAACATCTCTCGGTGTACGCTTTGATTGAGGTACAGAGTGTACAGTTGCACCCGATATGTCTGGACTTGTCATGTTTTTTTTTTTTTTTACTCCAAACAAATTTAAATAAAGGAAAGTGATATTCTAAACATTGTCAATCATTTTGATTACCTTCATCCAGGGCAAACGCATAAAATGTAACCACGCAGAACGTACTGTTACTGGTGTTACGGTTTTAAAAGTGACCGTGTTAAAAATAACACAAATAATCAATAATATTGTATCAATTACAACAATATGAAAAAATGTAAACAAATATTATTTAAAAGATAGACAAAGTTGTAATTAATTCAGTTAGTACTAATATGGCCGTTCTCTTGCTGTCTGTAGTGGAGACAGTATCATACTTATCTTTCATTAAGGTCACTGACCCCCTCCTCTGTTTTGACCAGATTTTCTCATCATGGCGATGAGGAGCGAGGCCAGGGTGGAAGCAGAGGTGGAGGAGGAAGAAAACTTCGGGCCACAGCCTCTGTGTAAACTGGAGGTGTGTATCCCAAATTATACTGCACTATCCCATTACCTGTCTGTGTGAGGATGAAGTTAGGGTATTTGTCAACAATGTTTTTGTTAAGTTTAGACTGTGTGTAGGAGTTTCATTGCAATTTTAGATGGATTCATTCCTCTCCAATGCACCTGTCTTATGAAATATTAAAGTAGAGTCGAGTCTGGTCTGAAGAAAGCTATGTGATGACTATCACTAGAGACACATTTTCCTCTTTAACAAAAAGGTCTATCTCTGGACCCTTTAATTGTAATCAGAAACAATGTTTTGATGTCTTCTTATGCAGCAATGTGGAATCAGTGCCAGTGACATCAAGAAGCTGGAGGACGCCGGCTTTCACACCATCGAGGCCGTGGCCTACGCCCCAAAGAAAGAGCTGCTCAACATCAAGGGCATCAGTGAAGCCAAAGCTGACAAAATTCTGGTAAGAAACATCTCCACCTCCTCTCTGCATGTGTACACATTCCCTCAAAAATGGTACAGGAATATGACAGGGATTAAATGAGAATCACAAACCGAGGAAGAAGTCAGACATATGAGAGAGTCGAGTGTCTGAAGGAACAAGTCTGGAGGTTTTCACCGTCTCCAGATACCAAGATACCTTTAGAAACGTTTGAGTCTTTAAAATAAACTGAAAAAGATCTTGAAGCAAAGGAGTCTTTGTAAAACTTTCAAATGAAACTTTTTGGATCAAAGGTGGAACCTCTTCTCACATGTCTTGACCCGATCAAGTGAAAAATTATGTTTACGTTCATTTGTAACGGAGGTTTGAGCCAGGAGATGTCTAATGTATAACATAAGAAATGTTATATGACACTTTACCCCCCACATGTTAAATGTCCCTGTTGTCTCTGTCATTATAAATATCATCCACCAGAATCAGCTTTATTGGCCAGCTGTACTTAAAACACTCGACGACTTTAACTTTGGTGAACTGTACAAGACGCTTCGTACGCTGATGTGCAAAGATGCTAAAGTAGACATGGTAGTAGAATACATCATTATGTAACAGATAATTAACATGAGTTAGAGTTTACAGTTTAAACATTAAGCAGTGTACATAGATTGATATGTTTAAATAGTATGTACTGTACATGCACAGTGCAAGTTTGGTGTCAGGGTTATTTCACAGCGGTTACAGTTGTAAGAACTGAAGGAAGCAACTTGATCAGACTGAAATAAATTGTGAATGAACTCTCGAAAACATAAAGAAGAAGGAAATAAAAAATGTGGAAGCTTGATAACCAACCATAAAAAGGCTAATTCAGTAAATCTACCCTACTTCAATCATTCTCATATCAGCAAAACATGCTTTTAATTAAGATAGATTAATTATGAAGCCTGTCATTAATTCTATTATTTGTTTATGACTCTCTTGCTGTGTTTAAATGTCTTTTCCCTCTCAGACTGAAGCAGCCAAACTGGTGCCGATGGGTTTCACTACGGCTACAGAGTTCCACCAGAGGAGAGCCGAGATCATCCAGGTCTCCACGGGCTCCAAGGAGCTCGACAAGCTGCTGCAGGGTTTGTACAACTTAATGCAAATAAGTTCAGCGTGGTCATCTGTAGTGATGCAGGGAAACAGTGTCTCTGATCACGAGTTAAAACAGGTGACAGAAATCCAGATGTGAATCCAGATGTGAGGAAAAGTACATCTTCTGTTTTCCTGCAGGAGGGATCGAGACAGGCTCCATCACGGAGATGTTCGGAGAGTTTCGGACGGGGAAAACCCAGCTGTGTCACACCCTCGCTGTCACCTGTCAGGTACCGTTTAGAGACGATGAATCAGACAGCAGAGAGAGATTTCACTGAGGGGGGGGGGGGTCTCAGTGTGCAGCTTTAAAAAGTGATTTAAGCATTTTAAGTGTTAAAATGCTTAAAATTACATTTTTTAATGACTTTAAAACTCATTTGGGTTTTCAAATCAACAATGTGTTGATGTCTGGTGAAGATAATTAATTAATTTTACTCTTCAGCTGCTAAACATTGACTGATTTTGGCCATTTTTTTGTTTTTAAGTCAGTTTAATTTTCATGTAAACTTTACTTTAACTTTAAGTTCCATTACTTTGAAAGAATAGTGGGTACTCTGGGATATCCCTTCCTATCTTTAAAACACAAAAAACTTAACCTGCATTTCAGGTAAATATGTCTGAACTGGTATTCAAAGTCTTTAATCAGACATGTTGGAGACACTAGTTTTAAACAGTATTAATAGAAACCCCTAAAATGAAGAGACACAAACTGAAATGTTGTGTACTTGTTTTGGTTCTGTGTGTTTGTGTTATTGAGACGTCCTCTGTGTCCTCAGCTGCCCATCGATCAGGGAGGAGGAGAAGGTAAAGCCATGTACATCGACACAGAGGGAACGTTCAGACCAGAGAGACTCCTCGCTGTCGCTGAGAGGTCGGTCAAACATGATCATGCTACAGAAGCTACTGTAACACACCTGTTTTATTGTTGGTCCATTCATTTGATCTCACTGTCTTTGTGAGGATGCAACAAAGAAGAGCTTGATGTTGAAAGTCATGTGACCCCTGTGTGCTGTCAGGTACGGGCTGGTGGGCAGTGA